CAATCAACTTAAAATTTTAAAGCAACCCAGGTTACTTACTTTTTTAAGTTAAACCAACAATATTTTTTTACAGTGTAGTAATCACAACATTTTTTCTTTTGTCAAATCAACTTTATAATAATTTATTTAGTTGAGATAACTTATTATTTTGAGTTTCTGATGGTTAAATTAATCTCCTTCATTGCATTAACTCACTTTTTCCAGTTCAATCAACTTAAAATTTTAAGGCAACCAGGTTACTTGCTTTTTTAAGTTAAACCTACAATATTTTTTACAGTGTGCAAATAAGGAATGATGAAAAGAATGAAACCGCCAAGAGGAGGCGACAGGCGGCCGATGAATGCATTGAGTCATCATTGAGTCATTCATTTACGATTCATTCAAATGTCTGATTTATTCAGAATGAGGCGGTTTGATAATGGGTAATGAATAGTTGACTCAAGCGATTAGTTCAAAATGCTGAATTACTCAGTAATGAATCATGGGTGAGTGTTGCTCTGAGATGTGCTGTGGTTCTGTTGTTTGGAAATATTTTCGCTGCTGAAACAGAACAAAAACATTCATTGCGTCTAACAATGTAAGTAACTTAAAAGAGTAGTTCACTTTAAAAAAAAAAAAAAACTTTTGCTGGTAATTTACTGACTCCCATGTCATCCAAGATGTCCATGTTTTTCTTTCTTCAGTCGAAAAGAAATTAAGGTTTTTGATGAAAATATTCAGGGATTTTTCTCCATATAATGGACTTCAATGGGGTCCAAACGGTCCTAAAGACACTTTCAGTGCAAACTACTAACTGTTCGATGAGTCTTATCAAGTGAAACGATCGCTCATTTAAAAAATAAATAGTTTTATAAGCTCAAATGGTCGCCTTGCTCTGTTCTGTGTGACTCATGTTCGAACTCGTTCATCAAAATGAACGAATCTTTTTTCGAGTCATGAACGAATTGACAATAAAGAGTATTTTAAAGTATTTCTCTCTTATCTGACACACTCAGTTCAGTTCAAGTCTATAACGAGCTGAGGATCTGAATCAGGTGTGTTAAATAAGGGAAAGATACACAATCCCGAGTCCCGAGGACTGGAGTTGAGTCTCACAGCATTAACATTAAGCTTTTTTTTTATAATAATAGGCTGGGAGGAAACCTGCAGCTTACACTCTAAAAAATGCTGGGTTGTTTTAACCCAACTTTGGGTCAAATATGGACTAACCCAGCCATTGGGTTAAATTTTTACATTACATTTTTAACCCAACATTTCGGGTTTGTCCATATTTGACCCAAAATTGGGTTAAAACAACCCAGCATTTTTTAGAGTGTACAGACAAGAGCCTATATATAACGGGACATGCAAAGATTAACGCTAAAGGCATTTTCCTTCTTGAGCCTGTTGAAAAGAAAAAGCTTAACATGAAATTTTGTGACCCATTACATTGCTAAATAATGACTGTGAGATTCTAGCAAAACGTCTCAAATCTAAATTACACACTTTAATTGATGAATGCCGGTCTGGTTTCATGAAAGATCGTCATATAGCCAATAACATTCGCTTAGTTTTGGATCTGATTGAATATAAAGACTTTTTACATGATGAACAACACCTTATTTTATAGACTTTCACAAATCTTTTGACACGGTAAGCCACAAGTTTATTATTTACACATTAAACTGTTTTAAAGGGTTAGTTCACCCAAAAAAATGAAAATTCTGTCAGTATTTACTCACCCTCATGTTGTTCCAAACCTCTATGTGTTTATTTGTTCTGCTGAACACAAAGGACGTTATTTTGAAGAATGTTTTAATCAAACAGATCTCATTCCCCATTGACTACCATAGTATGTATTTTTTCCAGGCTGACAAGGTCTAATACTCTACCTTATGATACCTTAACCATTTACTGGAGATAATATTGCACTACCAGATTTAATCTACAACTTTCCTCTAATGACTATTTCTGTTTTATCCCCAGTCTGATGAAGCCCTTGCTGTACAGAATCTGAGGATTGTGCTGATCGGAAAAAGTGAAGCTGGAAAGAGCTCAATAGGCAACGTAATACTGGGCCAAGATGCGTTTGAAGAGATCAGAACCAGAGGGAGTGAGATCCAGAAGACAGAAACATCTCCATCATCAACACTCAACTGACTGATGAAGAGATGAAGAAGCAGATGATGAAGAGTCTGGATCTCTTTGGATGGAAAGCAAAGCAACAGAAAACATGAAACATGTCCGATCGGCGAGGAGAAGAAACACACACCAGAAAATCATTCAATAGGTAAATATTTAGCTGTTTATAACTTGGATAAGTTTCATATGTGAAAATATAATATTTTCCCTTTTGTATTACTTTTAAATTGTTTTATATTTAAATTATGAAGTTTGACAATGTTTATTGACAAATATTTGGACTTGAACTTGCAGATGAAAGCAAAGATTTTGAAAGAAAGATTTTGCATTGCATTTGAAACACAACTGACACCGTCAGATCACCTTTTCTGTTTGTTAATCTGGCTGTTATAGCACATACTGCAGCCAAACACAATCTAAAGTTAAAAAATTCAGGGCCAAGAGCCCAACTAAAGCAAACACTGATCACCACAATGGTGACAATCATCCCTCAATTATTCACTTAATTATCTCATTAACTTTAACACCGCTTCAGTGTTCATTTAACACTCTGCTCAGAGTTTATAATATATAATTTGCCAGTCAGTCATTTTGCGTATCCACTGAGACATAAGCCTATACGTTAATGTAGTTAATTTCCTTACTTTTATATTTAATTTTTTAGGCATAACTATGAGCTGTTTTTTTTTTTTTTGTGGTTTATCTCTCTCTAAACTGTGATCGGCGTGACTCTGCGACAGAAGTTTTATTTAATGTTTTAATGACCGCTCGGCTCAACCAGCCCGTTCTCATCCCAAGGAGTCATATACTGACGCTTTGGCCAATGCGTAGACACCCCACATACATGGCACCCTTTAGCGTCAATATGAGATGCAGATATACATGGGCCAGAAGGCGCCTCCTAGTGGTCTAACCCTATCCCTACCCATAACCGAAGCGTATATATTGATGCAATAGGGTGCATTGGATGTCTACGCATTGGCAAAAACGTCAGTATATGACGGCTTGGGATGAGAATGCGTTGGCTCAACACGACAATGTCATGCGGTGTCAAACGGTCAGAGTTTTATGTGAATTCTAACATTAACTGGGTGAATCTTGTAAAGTTTGACAAACAAAAAACTGCTAAAACATATGCTTCGTCATGGTCTTGTTCTGAATCTGAATTACCTTGAATGACTGTATTTTTTCTTTTGGGTGGAGTATTTTGTTAGTCTCTTAGAGATCTGCTTCTCCTGACATACCTTTTTATCACTCCTTCTTTAAATAGTCTCATTTCAATACGTATTTGCATATCTGACAAACCTGAAATTCGTTGGTGCAGGTACTCCAATCTCAAACTGGAATGTATTTGTTTTTGTGCTCTCATCCTTGACTGATTACTCATCATGACACGTTCTGCTCCTCCCAAACCACCTCACCAAAGACATGCTAAAAGTGTCAACAATGAACTGGTATATATAATTAAAGGGATAGTTCTCCCAAACATTTTAAATCTTTAAGTATTTACCTATTTCACAATTGTTTGACCTGAATCACTGAATTCATATAGAGCCCAATTTCTGAGTTAGATTTACTTTATTGATTATAGCAGCAGTGACCTTGTACAGCATAACATTTGTAACATTTAGGATGTATTCAAAATATTTTCTTAAAAGTTTCTCCTACACAATGTTTTACTCTTCAATTTTTTTTAAAGGGATAGTTCAATTTGAAATTAATTATATAAAATATAATATAGAGATATATAGTTGGCTATAGAGATATAAATACTGTTCGTTTTCTCACACAAACCACTCGTTTCGTGTCTTAGGCCATCAATGTGTACTTACATTTACAAGTCATTAAATCTGTGCATGCTCTTTGAGGTGGTGACCATAGACCATGCATTATATGACTGACAGACAAGAACGGTTTGACTGAAAAATTTTCAACAAAATTGAAAATACTGTGGAAACAAAGACACCTACATGTTGGATGCCCTTGAGGTAAGATAAAACATATCAAAAATTAATTTTAAAGTAAACTATCCATTTAAGATACACAGACATCAACAATTAGCCTGTGAATCTCAACAATGGTGACAAATATAAAGCATGTTGCATTGCATTCTGGGTGCCACCAATCAAAACTCATTCATGGCTCCCATCATGCATTGCTGCATGAATAAAAAATGAGCTTATGTTCAGAGGTGATCTGTTTGTCACCATTGCTGAGATTAATACGCTAATTCTTGATATCTGTGTGTGCCTACACAACATTTTTTTTTATTCAATCGTATGGATTTAATTGAAAATGACCGTGCTGCTAAAAGCCATAAGGTAAATTTATCTCAGAGTTTATGCTCTTGATGAGTTCAGTGATTCAGGTCAATTAATGATTATGTTAAAACACAACCAACACCGTCATATCACCTTCTCTACTTGTTCATCTGGCTGTGATAAGTTAATGATTTAAGGGTTAAGAGCCCAACTAAAGCAAACACTATTATTATAAATTACTGTTTTCTCCTTCAGAGATTCTGCTTGTTAACATCAGGTGTCTTCAATAATGCTCAATCATCACTCAATTATTCACTTAATTATCTCATTAACTTCAACAGCTTCAGTGTTAATTTAACACTCTGCTCAGAGTTTATATAATTCCAAATTTCAATGGCTAATTTAACAATGGGGATTTTGCTGTGTGCTGGATGGGTAGAACAGATAAAATCCTGATATTGAATTAACATGAAGGACACTGCAAATGCATTGTATGTAAACAGGACTGACTTATTTTTAGGTTGGCTATTTGAATTTGAATTTGAATAGGAAACGGACTTGAGCTCATATTTGTTTGTCAGAATGATGGACACATGACTTCTCTATAAACATCTAAACACACAAATATCATCTCCAGCCAGTCATTTCAGGTGAGGATCACTGAATATCAGATTATTTCAGGTAAAATCATCTTTCAGTCTCTTTAAATTAAACACGTTGTGGCATGTGTTGATGTGGGATCATGGAACGACGGGATTTATGTGGAGTTTTAGTGGGTTAAATTTTCAAGGTCAGCACTCTTAAGCAATTTACAGTGTTAAGAGAGAAATATTTATGAATTTCACAAAATTTCAGGTGTGATGTTTTTGGAAACTCGATTAAGTTATCATTTCTGTCACCTATTTAGGCTTTCTATATGGTTTTCAATTACCCTGAAAATGTTTGAAATCTGGGAATCCTTTCATGCTTTGTTGAATTATTCTTTGATATGATTATAACACGTTATTTCATTTCTCAGAATTTAAATTCATAAATGCAGAGCATATTTGTAATGTTTGACACAAAGAGGAAACAAACAGCAGGAATGCGTCGGTAAAGCTATTTTTTTTCTCCATCTGTAATTAAAACTCATCCAAATTCGTGATGTGGCTGCTTTGGAAAAAAATAAATACATCTGACAGTCAGAATTGACGATGGCTTCCTCTCCTCAAAAAGTATTTAGTATTTTTTTTTTTTTTTAGCATTTAGGTTGGTTCACACTGCCTCAAAAACATGTATGAGAAATATATAATTTAATAAAATACATATTCTTTTTTTTTTTTTTTTTTTTTTTATATATTTATTTATCAACTTTTTCAAAGCATTAACAGAAAGCATTAACATAAAGCAGATACAATCAAAGTTAAAGTTTTTCCCCCACAATAACCCATTCCGCCAAAATAAATAACAATATATTACATACAAGTCAAAACAAAAATATCAATAATAATAATATTCCCCCCCCCCCAAAAAAAAATAAAAAAAAATACAAAATACAAAAAATAAATAAATAAATAAATAAAAATAAATAATAAAATAAATAAACATACATAGCCAATAATGAAATTCTGACATGTTCGTGGTCCGTACATAACTACAGAACAATACCCAAATTGACAATCACATCTAACATTGATCAATAGGTGGGAGAGTCCTCATCTTCTCAAAATATGTAATCATGGGTTGCCAAGTCTGATAAAATTTTTCAACCGATCCTTTCATTAAATATTTAATTTTCTCTAATTTTAAATATGATATTAGATCACATAACCACATTGAGGCTTTAGGTGGATTTGTTGATTTCCACTCCAATAATATTCTCCTTCTAGCTAATAAGGTGGCAAAAGCAATAACATTTTTTACTTTATTTGTCAATGATACTCCATGTTCTGGTACTCCAAAAATAGCAACTTCAACACTAGGTTTTATATCCAAGCTAAAGGCCTCGTTTAATGTTTTAAATATGAATGTCCAATAGTCACTCAGTTTTTGACAAGCCCAAAACATATGAAAAAAGTCTACCTTTTCACCTTTGCATCTATCACACAAGTCATCAACATTTGGATAAATTTTTGAAAGTCTAAATTTTGTGTAATAAGCACGGTGGAGGACTTTAAGCTGTATTAGGTTGAGGCGTGCACAAGAGGTCGATCCATTTACTCTATTAAGAGCCTCATCCCAAACTTCATCGGGTATTTCACTACCTATGTCCTTTACCCACTCACCCCTTATTCTGTCAATTAAAACATCATTTGAGGACATAACAGTGTTATATATTGTTGCAATTTGCCCTTTAAGAGAAGTAGGAGAAAGTAGAATTGTATCCAATAGTGAAGTAGGTGGCAAGTAAGGAAAAGTTGAGCTCTGAGATTGAACAAAATGTCTTACTTGAAGGTAACGAAATAGGCTGGACTGTGACAATTGGAATTTCTCTGAGAGGTCCTTAAAACTAGCAAAAGTGTTGTTTATGTAAAAATCTTTACACCTGGCCAAGCCTACCCTCTGCCATTGTGCATACGTGAAGTCTATTTTACCAGCAGGAAACAAATGATTATCACAGAGAGGGCTTAGCATAGAGGAGTTTCTGAGTTTATGCCTTTGTCTAAACTGTGACCATATTTTAAGCGTAGAACATACTACTGGGCTTGAAGAAAATTTAGAGGGAGAGAATGGTAGCTTCATTGTTATCAGAGCAGGAAGCGATGTAGAAATACAAGTATTTGCCTCCGCCTTACACCAATCAACCTCAGGGGAAGAATACCAATAAATAATTTTTTGAAGATTTGATGCCCAATAGTAGCCCATTAAATTAGGAAGAGCTAAACCTCCCTGGGACCTTTGCCTTTCAAGGAGCTCCTTGCGAATTCTAGGGTTCTTCCCCCCCCACAAGAATGATAATATGGGTTTATTTACTGAATGGAAAAATGTTTTTGGGAGAAAAACTGGAAGTGACCGAAATAAGTACAAGAATCTAGGTAAGATGTTCATTTTTATACAATTTACTCTGCCTGCTAGAGACAAATGTAATGCATCCCATCTCTGAAGATCCGATTTAATATTACTTATGAGTGGTAAAAAATTTTTTGCATATAAACCTGAGAAAGTACGAGTAATATGAACTCCCAAGTATTTAAAACCAGATTGAGATATGCGAAATGGGAGGGATGTAGCCTTAATTTGCAAAGCAAGAGGGTTAATAAGGAAGCATTCACTTTTAGAAAGGTTAAGTTTATATCCTGAAAAACTGCCAAAAACAGATAGCTTCTGCACTATTTTTGGGACATTTTCAACTGGGTTTGAAATGTATAATAAGAGGTCATCCGCATATAAAGAAACCCTGTGTTCCGTCCCCATTCGGTCAATGCCCTGTATAGACTGCAAGGATTTAAGCATAATGGAAAGTGGTTCTATCGCTAATGCAAAAAGAAGAGGGCTTAAAGGACAACCCTGTCTTGTGCCCCTTGATATTGGAAAAAACTGTGAACGTATTTTGTTTGTTATAACAGATACTTTAGGGTTAGAATACAACAATTGGACCCAGGATATAAATTTTGGGCCAAAACCAAATTTTTCCAATACTGCAAATAGGTAGTTCCACTCCACTCTATCAAATGCCTTCTCTGCATCCAGGGATACCACCACCTCTGGGGCCTCCCTGGATGCAGGAGAATACAAAATGCCAAGAAGCCTTCTTAAGTTGGTAAATGAATGGCGACCCCTAATAAAGCCTGTCTGATCTGGGGATATTATTTCTGGCATAATAGTATCTATTCTAGAGGCCAGCAATTTGGCAATAATTTTAACATCTACATTTAGCAATGAGATTGGCCTATAGAAATTGCACTCTAGTGGATCTTTTCCAGGCTTCAGAATGAGTGTAAGAAATGCTTCTGTGAGAGACTGTGGCAGCTCTGTAATGTTTAAAGAATACTCAAACATTTTCAGGAGGAGTGGGGCCAATTTGGGGGCAAACGCTTTATAGAATTCTACAGGGTAACCGTCGGGGCCAGGGGTTTTGCCATTTTGCATTGCATTAATAGAATCTAAAATCTCTTGCAACTCAATTGGCCGTTCTATTCTCTCTTTATGATCTGGATTAATTGTCTGGATATTCAGGTCATTCAAAAAGGTTACCATACCTGATTTATCCCCGCAAAATTCTGAAGTATATAAGTTTGAATAAAACTTCTTAAAAGTTTCGTTAATTTCTTTAGGATCCACTGTCAATTGTTGTGATGCGTTGCGAATCTGTGGAATTAACCTGGAAGCTGATTGACATTTTATCTGATGTGATAATAAACGGCCTGCTTTTTCCCCATGTTCATAAAATTTCCCTTTAGACCAAAGCAGATTTTGTTGAGTTTTTTCTATTGATATCTGATCGTATTGTGCTTTAAATTCCACTCTCTTTTTAAGAAGTTCTTCAGAAGGGGATAGAGAGAGTTGTTGATCTAATTTTCCTATCGAATCAATTAATTGTTGTAGTTTTGCATTTTTCTTTTTATTAACGGATACAGAATAAGATATAATTTCACCTCTGATGAAAACTTTTAATGTCTCCCATAAAATCAGTGGTGATACCATTTCTGAAGCATTTGTGAGCAAAAAGTTATCTATCGCCACTGATATATGTCTGTGGAAATTTTTATCTGCTAACAGGATAGAGTTTAATCGCCAAGCAGGGCGCTGGGTACAATGCTGACTAAAACATAGATCAAGAAGTAATGGTGCATGATCTGATATTATAATTGGTGAATATTGAATATTTTCCACTGAGGGGAGTAGTGTCTTATCTATAAAAAAATAATCGATTCTTGAGTATGAAGAATGGACAGGGGAAAAATAAGAGAATTCCTTCTTTTGTGGGAATAAAAATCTCCATGGATCCAGACAACCCGTTTGTGCCATGAAAGTAGAAAGAGCTTGGGACATTTTAGACTGAAGCATGGTTTTCGGATTTGAACGATCTAGGACTGGGTTAATAACACAATTCAGATCTCCACCAAAAATTAATCGGTGTGTGTTTAAATTGGGTAAAAGAGAAATAATATTATAAATGAAATTAACATCGTCCCAATTGGGGGCGTAGACGCATACCAGAGCAACAGGGGTATGAAACAAATGACCTGTCACAATAACAAAACGTCCCTGGGGGTCTGAAACACATTTGGAAGTATAAAACTGTACTTTCTTATGAATTAGAATTGCTGCTCCTCTTGCTTTACTATTAAAGTGGGAATGAAAGACTTGACCAATCCAGGGTTTTTTGAGTCTCATATGATCTGCTATCTTTAAATGCGTTTCTTGCAAAAATGCTATTTCCGTATTAATTTTTTTAAGATGAGCTTTATTTGGCCCATTCAAACCTTTAACGTTCCAGCTAGTGAACCGAATGGAAGACCCTCTAGTACTATTAGAATCACACATTAATCAATCATTAGGTTATAAAAGAGTGATGAATATGACGACCACGTCTCCAGTGCATGACAAACAAGGAAAGAGAATGGCAAAAAAAAAAAAAAAAAAAAAAAAAAAAAAAAAAAAACCCTTGGCGGTTATCCTCCCAACCCTGAACAAACTGAACGTTTCCTATATTTGTCTCAGGAACAGAGACAAATTGCAGGCCCCCATTATCAAACCCCCAGTAATCCCTCGACTGACGCAAAACCATCCCCACCTCTAGGAAGCTACCCAACCTTTAACCTTATGAAACATTCTCAGTGCCTTAAAACGCTTTGTAAATAATGTCTTAACTCAGTAGAGTTAGTATCAGTCTTTCACAGAACCATCAGCTTTTTGGGTTAAGTTTAGAACAATAAACTATTTGCGAAGCCACACAAATAATAATAATAGTAATAAAAAAGAAATCAGATAAATAAAAAAGCTGGTCGGAAAGTGTTCATACCTTTTTCAAATGGTCCGTCTCAAGAAAAAATAAATAATAAATAAATAAATTAGAAAAGAACAACTCAAAAAGGGAGTCTTTAAGCGTACAAATTAAATAAATAATCCAGAAATCCTAAACATTGATACGTTGGTCGTAGAACTGTTTCGCCTCCTCCGGTGTGTTGAACATGAAAGTTTCTTCATTAAAAGTCACTTTCAAACGGGCCGGGTAGAGCAATTGAAATCGAATGTTCTTCTGGTAGAGTGATTGCTTGATGCCATTATAAGACGCGCGCAAATGAATAAAATACATATTCATTTGTTCATATTTAATGTCAGGTTTTATAAGAGCTTCGATTTATGTTATGCTGTGAAAGTAGAAACTATGATTTTACTGATTAAAGTTCCCTCTGTTGACAGTGTTTTATCTCTTAAAACTCATCTTTGATCATCAAAATATTTAAATATAAATATTTCAAGTTTTTTTTCTCTAAATTAAAAAAAAAAGTATTATTTAAGCATTAACGGTGCCCTAGAATGCCTTTTAAAAATTATTTTATAATGTTTCCTGAGTTGCCCTTATAATGTTAATATGTTTTTTTAGATCAAAAATAGTCATAATATAGTAATAAAAGGCATTTTTCCTAGCCTGATTTTAGCTTCTGCTTTGAACGCTCTGTTGGAAGGGGCGTGTCTGCTGTGTGTAACCGGCCTCTGCTGTGATTGGCTGAAATGCTTGCATATGAAATAGCTTTGTATTATATACACTGTAAAAAATTTTCCTGTAAATTTTACAGTAAAATACTGGCAGCAGGGTTGCCAGCCAGTTACTGTATTTTTTACAGTATAGTTCTGTAATTTAATTTACAGATTTTTACTGTATTCTCTGATTACAGTAAATAACTGTATTTTATACAGTAGTTCCATGAATCTTTGTATTCGCTATATCTGGGAAATATGTAAAATGCCAGCTGAATTTTAAATGTTAATTATTTATCAACTGCATAAGCTTTAAACAATTGTTTTTAAATTCAGTAAGTGTTGTATAACACACAACTTAATTCCCTTATTACTTCACAAAACAAACAAACTATTCAACATCCTATAAAAACAGGTCAACATTTTTTTAATTTATAACTTTAAAATATGCATGGAAAAAAAGCATAAAACAGTGTATTTTGTATATTTTTTTATTTTTTTATTATTATTTACAAATGGACATGAATTTTTTTTTTTTTTAATTACTTAAAACAAATAAGCCATCAGGGCCCTTCACACAAAGAAGAAATACGCAAATGACATTTAAAACAACAAGTTGACCAACATGATCATAATAAAATGGTTCTGAAAAACAAAACAAACAAAAAAACAGACATGAATGAATTGTCACCTCTTCGTTCCCAGACAAACATGTCCAAACAACAAGGCCCCAAGTGAGTCCAAAACACGTATGATCAAAAATGGAGAATAATTCAGCTCCGGATGCTGTTCCATCACAGGATGCAAAGAGTGGCTAGAAATATTGAAAAGGACATTACATTAGATATATTACAAAACATAATGATACAGTCAGAGACAGACAGAAGGATGACAGATACAGTTAGAGTCAGATAAAGAATATTAAAAGGTTACAATTAAAGGAAAAATAGATATTTGTGTGTGTACTTACATTTCAGAAATTCCACTGAATACACCACTTTGCAGGGAAGAGTGGCAACATGTGGGTTCACTGCAACCTGTTTCTTCTGTACCATTTGCCCTGTCCTTTTAGATGGCAATTTTCTTCTTTGTTCCTCTCTTACAAAGCACATAAAGGGTCAGGAAACAGACAATATGTAATTAGGATTGGTTTTAAGTTTTTCATGCTTGTAATCATGATTTTTAAATCTGTTAGAGCAGTGTTTCTCAACTCCAGTCATGAGGACCTCCCAGGAAGACCTCCCAACCCTAACCCTATGTCCACAAATTAAAACCCCTGATTTAACTAATTAAAGGGATAGTTCACTTTGAAATTAATTTTTGATATGTTTTAGCTTACCTCAAGGGCATCCAAGATGTAGGTGTCTTTGTTTCCACAGTATTTTCAATTTTGATATTTTTAAGTCGAACCATTCTTGTCTTCAGTCATATAATGGAGGTCTATGGTCACCACCTCAAAGAGCAGCACAGAGAAGTCCAAATTAAACATGATTTAATGACTCGTAAATGTAAGTACACATTGATAGCCTAAGACACGAAACGAGCGGTTTGTGTGAGAAAACGAATGACGTACGAGACGAGTGACGTATACGCGCGAGAGATCACTTCCGTTTGTCTTAGGCCATCAATGTGTACTTACATTTACGAGTCATTAAACCATGTTTAATTTGGACTTCTCTGTGCATGCTCTTTGAGGTGGTGACCATAGACCTCCATTATATGACTGAAGACAAGAATGGTTCGACCTAAAAATGTCGAAATTAAAAATACTGTGAAAACAAAGACACCTAGATCTTGGATGCCCTTGAGGTAAGCTAAAATATATCAAAAATTACTTTCAAAGTGAACTATCCCTTTAAGTCAATAGATAATACATCAAAAGGCAGATATTAAGTACATGTGTAAAATGTACTGAGGTTGTTAAGAATGCAATAATTACCTTTAAATGAACTCCAAGGTGCAGGCTGGCTCCTCCTGATTGAATATGTAATAATATGCAGTGAACAGTAGCAAGGCCAGACAGGAAGCTGGGCTGAATGCTCTCCTCACACACAACTTGGCCTTCCAGTGTCCTCTTGTCAAAGTGTCTCCTAAAACAATACCACATGTGACAATAGTTTATTTTTTTACTATACCATTTTTATGTTTCAGCATTTTATATGTAAACTATATTTTAGTATTCAGAGTGCAGGAACTCTTTCTTTTAAATAAAATTAACAAAGGAAGTATGAAAACAAATAAGCAAATTACACACAGAGAGTAACTTAGGCTAACGTTATAGCTAAAATATATAGGATATATAGCTTATATTCGTACTGAAATATAAGGGATTTTCACACCGGAATATTAAACATAACGTTACGACACAGCAACATTCATAATCTGTTTTTTTTTTTTTTTTTTCATTTCGGCGCCCATTTTAACAGATTAGTTGATTTTGATTTGATTTACACCATAAAATAATCACGGCGAAGTGTGCTGATCAACACGAAGCTCGTGTGAATACCGACTGTTGTCAGAAAAGCATGTAATTCTTCTCAACAAAGGAGCCCATAGATCCCGGGGAATGTGTGAAATACTACCCGCGTCTGGGCTGCTGAAGCCCCGCGCAAGTCTCCCTCGCGCCCCGTACGGAGGATGCGTGATCCTCGGTAACCAATATGAACCGCGAATATAACATTACCTTCATAGTCTACGATTAACACAACATGAAACATAAGAAACTGAAATAAGTCACTTACCAGTTGAGAATCACTCCTCTTGCCGCTATCCGAAAGTCGACGACACGACCGTTGAAGATCACAATGCCTCTGTGTCGATTTGAAATTTACAGCAATATTCTGTATTTTGAATCAAACCGCCACGCGGCCCCAGAATGCATTGCAGTTTACAGCAAAATGCTGTATTATTAGAAAACAGCCAGCGGCTGTAAAATATGGCTGTAATTTTTACAGCAATTCATTACAGTGTACATTTATTATACGTTTTTACTATTACAGCCATCGAGATTAACGAATTGTGAGAAGTTTTTAAAGTATTTAGATCTATTCCCATCACATAAAATGTTGCCATGATGAGCATTGAGCAAGCAGAGGACAGTCTGTCGATCGCGAGGGTGAAGATATTATCATTGCAACGCAGTTTCTGCTCTCTCTAATGCTTTCACCAATGCAGACACGATCATTTAAATACAGTTAGAGCTTCGTTGTGCAGTGTAACATGCGTCATTGAATTCATAACGAGTTTGGCAAGTGTCCAGATAAACTCGCACTGTGTGGAAAGATTGTTCTTTGATCGCTTTAAAATAAGTTTTATTTTCATCCTACTAAAAGAAACAATGTGAAGTTGATATTTTAGTCACTGGCTTGATATACTGATGCATGCACAGTATTGAACGATTTTGGAGAAAGATCAGCGCAGTCTCATCCCAAGACGTCATATAACTGACGTCTTGGAACGTCTTTTGACCATACGTCAACATCCGCCTTTTTAGGCTACCCTTAAATGTCGGTTATGACGTTATCGGATCCTAACCCTACCCCTAAACCTACCCCGTCACCAAACCGACGTTAAAGGTAAAGCGTCCCCAGATAGCAAACTGACATTGAATCAACGTGGAAATATGACATCGAAACAACGTTGATCTGACATTGTTTTGCTCATCGAATTAACGTTGAACCAACGTCAGACGTGATTCGTCATGAACCAACGTCATTCTTCAAAACTAACGAAAAAATAAACTTGAAATCAACGTTGTTTCAATGTTAGGAAAGCAAAACAATTTTCAATTTTCATTTAGCTTTGAAGAATGCCGCGTCTGACGTTGGTTCAACGTTAATTCGATGAGCAAAACAATGTCAGATCAACGTTGTTTCGATGTCATGAGAGACGTCGTTTCCACGTTGATTCAGTGTCAGTTTGCTGTCAGTTGTATGACGGCCCGGGATCGTCATGTAACCGACGTTTAAGGGTACCCTAAAAAGGCGGATGTTGACGTATGACCAAAAATATAAGACGCCTGTGTTGAAAGTCAATGGAGCGCTGTGAAAAAGTGTCCGACCACTGTGGGAGCTCGTTCTTGGCTGCGCTGTGATTGGTCAATCTACATTCTAGGGCGTGGCTTAGCCAAAGGCGAATTACGTCGATCCAAGCCCAAGTTGAAGAAACAGTTGTCGGTGAAATGTTTGGAAAATTCCAGAGAAAATAAAATTAACCTATTGTTTCTTCAGAGGCTCGGATGAAGGAACTAAAACATCCAAACACTGATCAACTGCCATGCTTCGGCTGCGTCGGCTGCATATTAATGATCCCGACTGTTATGACTCTCCACATAACACCCACAGTTGGTGTTATGTGGAGATTCGCCTGTTTTTCAGGGGTGTTTTTCAAAAACGAGATTTAAGTAAGAAGGAGAAAACAGTGGTGTTTGAGACTCACTGTATGTCATGTCCATTTACTGAACTATTGTTATTTAACTATGCCAAAATAAATTCAATTTCGCATTCTAGATCACCTTTAAAAATAGCTTGAATGTAACACCCTTGCTTCATTTAGTGTACACGGGACATGGATATGCAAATGATGGTCCCTTTTGAACATTCTGTGCACTATCAATATATTTGCAAACACACACACATTCTCTTTCTGTTCACAAACAAAATTAAGACAGAGAAGCTTAGTGGCGCCACTATGTGTCTCTAAATGATTACACACTCTCCTCATTTATAACTATTGCATACTGTAAACTCATCAATACAGTGGAATTTCCAAGACTGTTTCACTAAAGTCATGCAACGTCTGTCTCTTTCTCTCTCTCTCTCTAAACTGTAAAGGAAACTCGTCATCTGAACTGTTTTTATATAAAGAGAAATACAACAGAATGACCAAACTGACAATGGCTCCTTCTCTTCATAAAGGTGACTATATTATAAAAGTGCTTTTCACTGCTGCAAAAGATTAATTTTCTTTTCTTTTTTTCTTTTTTTTTATGACAGGTGATTAATGTAGTATTCTCAAAATCAAAATCAGTTTTTATTGATATTTTTTTTTTTTTAATTTGTGTTTCCTGACAGGTTTTCTAAGAGCACAGGCTATCATCTCTGTTATGCTGTGTAAGTCAATGGGCAGTGTTTTTTTTTTTTGCTCAATTCTTGCTTATCATTTTTTGTTGTGATAATAACGCATAAGCAGGCCCACATGTTTGTTTCATAAATATTAAGGCTAATTTTATTATGTGTTTCCAATCTGATTAAACCATTTCACCATATTTAAATCAGCGCAGTCTCATCCCAAGACATCATTTAACTGACGTCTTGGGACGTCTTTTGACCATACGTCAACATCCGAGATCATACGTTGACCATACGTCAACATCCAAGAGTTTAATAGAGTTCACCTAAAATGTTCTGATTCAAATCTTTTGAAATTTTGTTAATTCATTTGTATTCACTATAATTTATTTATTTATATCTCAGATCTCTTGGCCTCTGTAACTGTCACACAAGCGACAACCTCCATTGGTAATGTATAGTTTTTCTCAGCTTAATTCTGACCGCTATTAACTCTCGGGAAATCAATGTGTTTCTGGTGATTAGTCATATTTTTCCTGAAGGATACTGTCTGTTATAATGTTCACTTCTGCTGTGTCACTCAAAATTGGCAGTTTTGCTTCCCATTTATGAAGTAATATTTTGTTCATTGGAAATTACCATAGATAGGAATGACTAAAGCTGAACTTCTGGATAGATTTTATAGCAAGAACATTTTATTAACAATAACATGTCATGATTTCTTAATATATTTTCACTACAGCTAATCTGTCAGACCCCTGCTACAACTACACGGTGCTGAACGATACATGGAGATCCGTCAGTAATACATATGCTTCATTCGGAAACTGTGACCAGTCTGTCTCCTGGAGTGGCTGGTATCGTCTCTTCATTAACAGCATGAGCGCTCATATCCCAGACACGTGTGTTGCTCAGCACGGTTGTGGCACTTCTGTCTCACTGTGGATCCGTGGTGGACACCCAACAGTAACAGATGGAGTCGTCACTCGAGATGTCTGCGGTTACGGGAACAATTACTGCTGCTTTACCGGATCTTTTCCCATTAAAGTCAAAGCCTGTCCAGGAGATTATTATGTCTATGAGCTGGTCAGACCAACTCGCTGTAATTCATCATACTGTGCAGGTATATTCACACGAGCTCTTTCTACACATTCATCATATTTGTGTTTCTGTTGATTAATCATTATTAATCCAAACTTTCAGACACTGGCAGCATTAACACCAGCTCTACAACTGTCTCACCAGTGACCATCTCAACTGGTAATGTAACACATTAGTTGAGTTAAAGGTAACACAAAATGTGTAGTCTTTATAAACACAAAGATGTGTTAAGAAACAACACAGGTTGTGTGTTAAATTTGACACGTGTTGTCCCTGAGCACACACACTACATGTGTTAAATCTGACATGTGTCATTTTTAACACTTAAAGTGTAGGTGTAGATGTTAGACCGCTAGTTAAAGCTAGTGTGTGCAGTTTTGTACACTGTAAAAATATTTTCATGATTTGTTATCACAACATTTTTTCTTTTGTCAAATCAACTTAACTAATTTATTTAGTTGAGATAACTTATTATTTTGTGTTTCTGATGATTAAATCAATATCCTTCATTGTATTAACTTACTTTTTCCAGTTCAATCAACTTAAAATTTTAAGGCAACCAGGTTACTTAATTTTTTTAAGTTAAACCAACAATATTTTTTTACAGTGTAGACGCTATCATCAATATAACATCAGATCCAGCCCTTCCTTCAGGAGCGCTTCCGGTTCGGTCTTTTCATTAAATATTGAGCTGTTTTATTGCAGATGGATTCACAGAAGCCAACACAGATGAGCATAACCAATCTCCATCGCATATAGGAAGATTAATGAATAAAAGTTTTTTTATTTTTCTTGTTCTCACTATATGTGAATATTAAAATTGAATAAAACACCACCAATAAAAGGAACTAGGTTAGCTAGTTACCTTCAAATCTAATAGATAATAAATAACTCTTCACATGTGGATGCTAGACCTGTTTCATGTTGGGCATAAAGCCCATGAATACATAGCATTAACAGCATAAACTCATAGTTTTGGTTCAGGAAGAACTGTAAAACTTTCTACCTCTCACAGAACACACTGATGACGTGTGATTCCTGTGCAAACATTGCCTACTCTAGCTTTGAGGAACTCCTTACTTTCTTCATGCTGCAACATCGATCGAACATTAACTCACTTAAAGGATTAGTTCACTTTTGAAAAAACTTTTGCTGATAATTTACTCACCCCCGTGTCATCCAAGATGTCCATGTCTTTCTTTCTTCAGTCGAAAAGAAATTAAGGTTTTTTATGAAAACATTCCAGGATTTTTCTCCATATAATGGACTTCAATGGGAACCAAACGGTCCAAAGTCCAAAAGATAGTGTTAATAACAGTTTCAGATGCAGCTTCAAATGTCTTTAAACGACACCAGACGATGAATAAGGGTCTTATCATGCGAAACGATCGGTTATTTCAAAGCTTATTCCAAAAATGTAACTTTTCTAAGGACAAATGCTAGCCTTGCTCTATTCTGTGAGGCGCGTTTGTAACGTCACGTAATACGTAATTACGTTCAAAAGGTCACGGGCGACGTAGCCGGAAGTACAGAATCAGTGTTTACAAGTTGAACGCATAGGTTGAACGTGCAAACCAACTCAACGCCATTTACAAAAAAAGTAATTAAAAGGTAAAACAACGATGTCGGACGATTTTGATTCTGTACTTCCGGCTACGTCGCCCGTGACCTTTTGAACGTAATTACGTATTACGTGACGTTACAAACGCGCCTCGCAGAATAGAGCAAGGCTAGCATTTGTCCTTAGAAAAGTTACATTTTTGAAATAACCGATCGTTTCGCATGATAAGACCCTTATTCATCGTCTGGTGTCGTTTAAAGACATTTGAAGCTGCATCTGAAACTGTTATTAACTGTCTTTTGGACCTTGGACCATCTGGTTCCCATGTAAGTCCATTATATGGAGAAAAATCCTGGAATGTTTTCATCAAAAACCTAAATTTCTTTTCGACTGAAGAAAGAAAGACATGGACATCTTGGAGTAAATTATCAGCAAAAGTTTTTTCAAAAGTGAACTACTCCTTTAAGCGCTATGCAATTTAGACTGCAATACTATTCTTCTGTTTTAAAAAGTAGGGACGCGTGTAATTAAAATGCAGATTTGTGAGAAGGTAAAAAATTAAAATAACCACAGCTTTGTGATGAATACTAGGCTGAAACAAAAGGAGAACTTGGATATTAAGTGAAAATTCTTCTTGCGCGCTCTTGTCGACTCCACGGTGTGACCGTTTGTCCTTTATTTGTGGATCATAATCTATTTATTTGGGATAAAGCAACAATTCCACCCCCATTTGTAAGCGCTCGTTACAAACAAATACTGAGGGCTGTGTTTTGGTTACAGACACTGCACTGACCAATCAGAATCAAGCGTTTAAGAGCGACACGCAATAAATGTTGTCATGGTTTAAAAATCACACTTTTTTGTTTTATTTGCTTTGAGGTTTTTACAAATAGATTTTTAGTTGTTTTATGTTATTTTAAAGACGTTTGCTGCTGCCTCTGGTAGCTCTGGTTTATAGTCATTCTAGTGAACTAGCAATGTTGGGGAGTAGTTAACTACAAGTAGCGACGCTACTAACTTAACTACATTTTTCAGTAGCTTGGCAGTTGCTTTTTTTCCAGTAGCGAACTACTTTTTGCGTCAAGTAGCGGTGTAGCTCGAGCAGAAGCTACATTGCGTTTGTCGAGCCTGCGCGAATCAGCGCGATGCAAGGATATTCTTCATCTTGTTAGATTACAAACTCATTTTTTGCCGTTACCGCCACCTGTTGTTTAATCACGCATCTTGCGGCTAACGGTTCACTGACGTGCAGAAGTGGGTTGACACACCCATATTATGATTATCCATGATGGAGCAAGACGTGACGGCAGATTTGGAGGATGGAGAAACAACTAACGTTAATTACCCATGGCCTTATTTGTCCAAGTTCAATCGGTATTTTTGAGAAAATGTTCCTGCAATGTTGTAGGCTATTTGTTGCAATTTTGCACTTTTGACAAACAGTCTGGGATATTTGAGTGTTGTGTGTAATAAAACAATACTCTTTGAAATCAAAATTGTATTGCATTATTTTATTTTACTTAGAACATTCCTCAGACACTTATTCAGTTATTTATAATATACGTTGTTTACTTAGCTACTTTTTGATAGTAACTTAGTGTAGCTAACTACTTTTCCAAAAGGACTGTAGTTTAACTACTTTAATTTATGAGTAGCTTGTAGCTTGTCAAACTACAGTTTCAGAGTAGCTACCCCAACACTGTGAACTAGCCACTGTGAATTAGAATTAATTCAATCAATTTTATGAAAAAGTATTATATAATTTATGCAATAATTATTTACATGTTTTTTTTCACAACAGCTTATCCCTCTGTTGACCCCTGCTACAACTACACTGTGCTGAACGATACATGGAGATCCGTCAGTAATACATATGCTTCAGTCAGCAACTGTGACCAGTCTGTCTCCTGGAGCGGCTGGTATCGTCTCTTCATTAACGGCATGAGCGCTCATATCCCAGACACGTGTGTTGCTCAGTTCGGCTGTGGCACTTTTTACGCACTGTGGATCCGTGGTGGACACCCAACAGTAACAGATGGAGTCGTCACTCGAGATGTCTGCGGTTACGGGAACAATTACTGCTGCTTTACCGGATCTTTTCCCATTAAAGTCAAAGCCTGTCCAGGAGATTATTATGTCTATGAGCTGGTCAGTCCAACTCTCTGTAATTCAGCATACTGTGCAGGTAATTATATTCACATGAGCTCTTTCTACACATTTATGATATTTGTGTTTCTGTTGATTAATCATTATTCATCCAAACTTTCAGACACTGGCAGCATTAACACCAGCTCTACAACTGTGACACCAGAGACCATCTCAACTGGTAACACTACATGTGTTAAAAACCACACAACATGTGTTGTCCCTCAGCACACACACTACATGTGTTAAATCTGACATGTGTCAATGATTCCTGTGCAAACATTGCCTATAGCTTTGAGGAACTACCATCTCTAGCTTTGTAAGCGGTCGTTACAAACAAATACTGACATCTAGTGAGTGGGCTGTGTTTCAGTTACAGAAACTGCACTGACCAATCAGAATCAAGCATTTCAGAGAGACACGCAATAAATTAAAAATCACACTTTTTTGCTTTATCAAGGTTTTTGCAAATTGCTTGTTAGTTGTTTTATATTATTTTATACTGTGCAGGTAATTATGTGTTCAAGAGCTCCTGGTATTATTTAATTAATTAGTATTAATCTGTAATTATTTCCCCAGCTGTTACTAAAATCAGCATCACGGATACGACAATCCCACCAAAGGCGACCTCAGCTGGTAATGTAGTCTGATGATTCCTCTGTTGGATTGTGTTTAGGCTGAATGTTTGTGGATCTGTATCACACCATTCTCATACAGTGATACAGTGTCAGTAATTGTTGTGTCCTATACTGTAATTCCTAATGCTACCTTTAGGGGTGCTGTGTTGTAAGAGGATAGAGGAGTGGGTAGAAGAAGAAGAGCAGTTCTAGTTTTAGTCATGTGAAGTTACGGTCAAACACATGGAAGTTAAAATTGAAATAAAAGAGCATTGTTGAAGATATACGTGTCGTGGTTACTACTCATCTAGAACATAACAGTAATATATGAGCTTTTGTGAATTAAAAATATTGATCAGAATGAGAGCAAACAGTTCAAATATCGGTCACTCGGGGGACATTCTACTTCCTGTTTCTCAACACTATCAGAGTGATGTCACAGTGATGTCACATGGTGAACTCACAGTATGCAGTGTTGTGTGTAACGCAACTACTTTTTCTAGTAAAAAGTAGTGTAACATGCTACTACTGAAAATTTGGTAATGAAACGTAGTTCCTTTATTAATTCGGCGAAAAGCTACTTTTCCCAGGGACAGATTTGACAGCGATCGCCATCTCTGTGAACGCCTATAAATGCCCATAGGCCTAATGGATTACATAATCACAGAGTAGCCTATTTCTTTTTTCGTTTTGAATTTTTTCATTTAAAGACATTTCATGGATATATTTATCATGTCACAACATCTACCATTCCCACTACTCAAGGTGAGCATGTTTCTGGGCTGAACGTGACTTTCAAAAGATCCTCTTGCGTAATTAGTGTCTTCTTGGAAAAGTGTCTTAATTCATCATCTGATTGCTTTACCATCTGTTTATTGTTTCAGTTTCTTTACTGCCGGTCACTTCCACACCATCTACCAGTTCTACTTCCACAGGTGAGGATGATATTAGACTGGACTGTATTGAAATGCAACCCTGCATAATGCCTTAATAAGAACACAGCACTTCATCTAATTTTGGCTTAGCATCTCTTTTCATATTGTTAATGTTACAGATCATTTACTGTCAGTCACATCCTCTATATCTACCAGTCCCACTACTGAAGGTGAGCACGTTTCTGGGTTAAATGTGACTTTCAAAATAAAGTAATTCAGCATACAAGTCTGATTTATCATGTGTTATTGTTTCAGTTTCTTTACAGCCGGACACTTCCACAACATCTACCAGTTCAAAATCTACAGGTGAGGATGAGTCTTTCTGGACTCAATCTGGCCATTTAAAAGAAATCAGTCAACATGATTTTCCTCATGAAGAACACAGTAGTTCAATATCCCAGTCTGGCTCAACATAGTTCCCTTTCGTGAGAACTCACAATGCGTCAACCACACTTTGGGAACGCTCCTTGCGTGAATGCGTCATGAAGCATTTATGTCAACTACTCCAATAAAAGGAATGAACATAACGGGCTGGTGACGATATGACCAGAAAGTGATAAAAGAGCATCCGGAATCTAAAGTTCAACATGTAAAGGTCAACTGCCCAACTAAACTAAACACTGATCCCCATAGGGATGATTGAGCATTAGTGATGAACACATGCTGTTAACAAGCAGAATGACTAAAGAAAAGAGAAACACAACTACGACTAACTTCAGACAGTCTTAGCTGAAATCAACTGAAAAGAAAAGAAGACATCAAATCTTAAGATTAGTCCATTAGTTGGGCTCTTAACTCCTCGTGTATCTTTGTCTTTTTTTTTTGGGCCGTTTTGAGGCAAACACTAAAGTTAGAGCAAAGTGAGATCAGGTTATAATGGTTACCTGTTGATGGTTTTATAGTCATTATGAAATAACTTGATTCACTGAGGTATTTGCTATTTTTTTAAAACATTGCTCAATGTTTATGAGTCCACACTCAGAGACTGATAAAAACACTGAAGCAGTGCTAAAGTTGACGGGATGATTAATTGAGTGATAATTGAACATTATCGAGGACACCTAATGTTAACAAGCAGAATCACTGAAGGAGAAAATCGTAATTGGTATGTTACCATTATGGAGATCAGTGCTTGGTTTAGTTGGGCTCTTGACCCTTCAGTAATTAACTCCAGATTTTTGATTGGTTGTTGTTTTTGAGTTACAACAGCCAGATGAACAAAGAGAAAAGATTATTTGATGGTGTTCGCTGTGTTCACTTTATTGATTTATAGTAGCAATGTCCTTAAAAACCATAACATTTGTAACTTTTACAATGTAATCAAAATAATTTCTTAAAACTTGAAGACATCAATAATCAGCCTGTGAATCTCAACAATGGTGACAATTATAAAGCATTTTGCAATGTATTCTGGATACCACCAATCAAATCGCGTTCATCTCTTTGTCACCATTGTTGAGATTCATACGCTAATTCTTGATGTCTGTATGTTTGTTTTGTAATTGATTTGATCAATTTGGATTTAATAGAAAATGCATACTCTACAACAACAGTGTTGCTATAATCCATAAGATACTAAATTTAACTCTGAAATTATGCTCTCAATGAGTTACGTGAATCAGGCCGACTATTGATTATATTAAAACACAATCAACACTGCCATAACACCTTTCTCTTTGTTCATCTAGCTGGTTTAACTCAGGTACAGCAGCCAAACTAAATCTAAAGTTAATTACTTAAGGGTCAAGAGCCCAACTAAAGCAAGCACTGATCTCCATAATGGGGACTTACCAATTACGATTCTCTCTTTCAGTGATTCTGCTTGTTAACATCAGGTGTCCTCGATAATGCTCAATTATCACTCAATTAATCATCTCATTAACTTTAGCACTGCTTTAGTTAATGTCTTCCTGAACAACACAGAACTTCCTTAAAATCTGACTTGGCATCTCTTCCCATCTTGTACATTTTACAGATTATTTACCGACAACCTCTTCCACAACATCTACTAGTCTCACATCTAAAGGTGAGCATGTTCCCGGACTTGGATGTAGCTTCTTGAAGACTACAGTAATTCAACATCTGAGTCTGATCTAACATCTGTTTCCATCCGTTATTCAGACTCAGGTGATCAGTTAGATCAGACTCAGATGTTGAAGTCTGTCTGGGAACACGCTCACCTGTAGATGTGGGACTAGTAGATGTTGTGGAAGAGGTTGTTGGCAAATAATCTGTAAAATGTACAAGATGGGAAGAGATGCCAAGTCAGATTTTAAGGAAGTTCTGTGTTGTTCAGATCATAATTTATTCATACTGCAATGCATGATGGGAGCCAGGAATTTGTTTTGATTGGTGGAGCCCATTATTCACTTCAACATGCTTTATTTTATTCACCATTGTTGAGATTCACAGGCACATTATTGATGTTAGTGTGTCTGAATGAAATAATTTTTCAAACTCTTTTGATGCTCTTTTGACTCTTTTGAACCCTTTAGAGCCGGAAGCTTCCACAACGTCTAGTTTTACATCTACTGGTGAGGATGATGCCGAACTGCATTCTGATATTAAAATGAGAACCTCCATAGCTAATGTCTTCCTGAACAACACAGAACTTCCTTAAAATCTGACTTGGCATCTCTTCCCATATTGTACATTTTACAGAATATTTACCGACAACCTCTTCCACAACATCTACTAGTCTCACATCTAAAGGTGAGCATGTTCCCGGACTTGGATGTAGCTTCTTGAAGACTACAGTAATTCAACATCTGAGTCTGATCTAACATCTGTTTCCATCCGTTATTCAGACTCAGGTGATCAGTTAGATCAGACTCAGATGTTGAAGTCTGTCTGGGAACACGCTCACCTGTAGATGTGGGACTAGTAGATGTTGTGGAAGAGGTTGTTGGCAAATAATCTGTAAAATGTACAAGATGGGAAGAGATGCCAAGTCAGATTTTAAGGAAGTTCTGTGTTGGTCAGATCATAATTTATTCATACTGCAATGCATGATGGGAGCCAGGAATTTGTTTTGATTGGTGGAGCCCATTATTCACTTCAACATGCTTTATTTTATTCACCATTGTTGAGATTCACAGGCACATTATTGATGTTAGTGTGTCTGAATGAAATAATTTTTCAAACTCTTTTGATGCTCTTTTGACTCTTTTGAACCCTTTAGAGCCGGAAGCTTCCACAACGTCTAGTTTTACATCTACTGGTGAGGATGATGCCGAACTGCATTCTGATATTAAAATGAGAACCTCCATAGCTAATGTCTTCCTGAACAACACAGAACTTCCTTAAAATCTGACTTGGCATCTCTTCCCATATTGTACATTTTACAGAATATTTGCTGACAACCTCTTCCAAAACATCTCCTAGTCCCACATCTACAGGTGAGCATGTTCCCGGACTTGGATGTAGCTTATTGACAAACACAGTAATTCAACACCTGAGTCTGATTTAACATCTGTTTCCATTTGTTATTGTTTCAGTTTCTTCACAGCCGGTCACTTCTACAACATCTACCAGTTCCACTACTTCAGGTGAATGTGTTGACTGTGGACTGTGGAATGTGGACTGAGATATGGCTTTCCAAAGATGCTTATCCAAATAACTGTCTTCATGTAGAACACAGTAATTCAATGTCTGCACAGCAAAAACTCCAGTGTTAAATTACCTGTCCTGGGAGTTTATTTGGCTCCAGACTCAAGAGTGTTAAAGTGTTAAAATATGAGTGTTAATTTAACACTCAAGAGTTAATTACTGATTAATTGAATGATGATTGACCATCATTAAAGACACCTGATGTTGACAAGGAGAATCACTGAAGGAGAAAATCTCATTTTTGAAGTCACCATTATGTTGATCATTGTTTGCTTTAGCTGGCCTCCTTGACCCTTTAACTATTAACATTAGATTTAGTTTGGCTATTGTAACTGAATTACAACTGCCAGATGAACTAAGAGAAAATGTGATCAGGTGGTGTTGGTTATGGTTTGACATAACCATCATTTGTCCAGAATCACAAAACTCGTTTGGAGCGTTAAGTTTACCTTGTTGATTACAGCAACACAATAATTCTTTACTAAATGTTTTTCAGCACTTTCAATATAATCCAATATATTTCTTAAAATGTGTTCTCATCAAAAGAGTTTGAAAAATTATTTTATTTAGACACACTAACATCAATAATGTGCCTGTGAATCTCAACAATGGTGAATAATATAAAGCATGTTGAAGTGAATAATGGGCTCCACCAATCAAAACAAATTCATGGCTCCCATCATGCATCGCAGTATGAATAAATTATGATCTGAATTGTCTTGGACAGAATATTCATTTAGGAAAAGGAAATTACTATCACCATTGTTGAGATTCATACACTGATTCTTGATGTCTGTGAGTGCCTAAATGACAAATTTATTTTAATCAAATAACTTAAGGCATTTGAACTGTAACATTTTCGATCTTATGCTGTAGAATCAATGTGAAGCTGTAATCAACCAGATACTTTAAATCAGAGATTAGGGTTTAAATTAGATCAGTGATTCAATTCAATTGATGATGTTGTTAAAACATAACACTATCAGATCATATTTTTCTTTGTTCATCTGGCAGTTATAATGATGTTATAACAGTGAAACAAAATCTAAAGTAAAAATTGTAAGGGTTAACTGCCTAACTGAAGCAAACACTGATATCCCTAGTGGTCACTTAAAATTGTGATTTTTTTTTCTCCTTCAGTGATTCTACTTGTAACATCAGGCGTCTTCAATAATGGTCAATCATCACTCAAATATTCACTTAATTATCTCATTAACTTTAACACCTCTTCAGTGTTCATTTAACACTCTTGAGTGTGGAGTCGTATAAACTCACAGGAGAGTTCATTTAACACAAGTTTTTGCTTTGTGAGTCTTATTTAACATCTGTTTCCATCTGTTATTGTTTCAGTTTCTTCACAGCCGGTCACTTCTACAACATCTACCAGTTTCACTACTTCAGGTGAATGTGTTGCTGGACTAAGATATGGCTTTCCAAAGATGCCTCTCCAAATAACCTTCTTCATTTAGAATACAGTAATTCAACATATGAGTCTGATTTCTGTTTCCATCTGTTATTATTTCAGTTTCTCTACAGCCGGTCAATTTCACAACATCTACAGGTGAGGATGATTTTAGACTGAAAGTCGCCTTCTAAAATAAATCTCTTATCTTCATGAACACAGCAGTTTCCATCTGCGCTTTTTCCATCTTTTATATTTTTCAGTTTATGTAACGCCGGTCACTTCCACAACTTCTACAAATTCTATATCTACAGGTCAGTGCGTTGCTGGACTGGATTGTAATATTGAAACACAACCATTCACAATCTTCATAAGGAACATTGTAATTCAACATCTGAGTCTGATCTAACATCTGTTTCCATCTGTTATTGTTTCAGTTTCTTCACAGCCGGTCACTTCTACAACATCTACCAGTTTCACTACTTCAGGTGAATGTGTTGCTGGACTGAGATATGGCTTTCCAAAGATGCTTATCCAAATAACCTTCTTCATTTAGAACACAGTAATTCAACATCTGAGTCTGATTTAACATCTGTTTCCATCCGTTATTTTTTCAGTTTCTTTTCAGCCGGTAGCTTCCACAACTTCTACTTCTACATCTACTGGTGAGGATGATGCCGAACTGCTTTCTGATATTAAAATTCAACCCTCCATAGTTAATGTCTTCTTGAACAACACAGAACTTCCTTTAAATCTGACTTGGCATCTCTTCCCATCTTGTACATTTTACAGAGTATTTGCAGACAACCTCTTCCAAAACATCTCCTAGTCCGACATCTACAGGTGAGCGAGTTCCAGGACTGGGATGTAGCTTATTGACCGACACAGTAATTCAACATCTGATTATGATTTAACATCTGTTTCCATCTGTTATTGTTTCAGTTTCTTCACAGCCGGTCACTTCTACAACCTCTACTAGTTCTACATCTACTGGTGAGGATGATGAACTGGATTCTGATATTAAAATGCAACCACCCATAGTTAATGTATTCCTGAACAGCACAGAACTTCCTTTAAATCTGACTTGGCATCTCTTCCCATCTTGTACATTTTACAGCTTATTTGCCGACAACCTCTTCCACAACGTTTACTAGTCCCACATCTACAGGTCAGCGTGTTCCCAGACTGGGACGTAGCTCATGAAGAACACAGTAATTCAACATCTGAGTCTGATTTAACATCTGTTTCCATCCGTTATTGTTTCAGTTTCTTCACAGCCGGTAGCTTCCACAACTTCTATTTCTACATCTACTGGTGAGGATGATGCCGAACTGCATTCTGATATTAAAATTCAACCCTCCATAGTTAATGTCTTCTTCACAGCAAAATCCCCAGTGTTAAATTAACACTTTAAAATGAGAATTATATAAACTCTAAGCACAGTGTTAAATTAACACTAAAGCAGTGTTAAAGTTAATGAGATAATTAAGTGAATAATTGAGTGATGATTGAGCATTATTGAACTCACCTGAAGTTAACCAAGCGGCAACATTCTAATCTGAAAAATGAAGCCTACCTGGAAGTGCGAAAAACTGCAATACATCGAAAATCCGCTAGAGGCCGGTCCCAAAAGGGAGCAAATGTCCATATACCCCATGTTAAAATGTCCGTTTTCACAGCATAAATTCATGTTTTCAGCATAAATTCACGAATTGTCTTGGACAGAATATTCATTTAGCAAAAGGAAATTACTTTCACCATTGTTGAGATTCATACACTGATTCTTGATGTCTGTGAGTGCCTAAATGACAGATTTTTTTAAATCAAATAACTTAAGGCATTTGAACTGTAACAGAAATTCTGGATCTTATGCTGTAGAATCAATGTGATGCTGTAATCAACCAGATACATTTAAATCAGAGATTAGGGTTTAAATTAGATCAGTGATTCAATTCAACTGATGATGTTGTTAAAACATAACACTATCAGATCATATTTTACTTTGTTCATCTGGCAGTTCAAATGATGTTATAACAGTGAAACAAAATCTGAAGTAAAAATTGTAAGGGTTAACTGCCTAACTGAAGCAAACACTGATATCCATAGTGGTCACTTAAAATTGTGATTTTTTTTCTCCTTCAGTGATTCTACTTGTAACATCAGGTGTCTTCAATAATGGTCAATCATCACTCAAATATTCACTTAATTATCTCATTAACTTTAACACCTCTTCAGTGTTCATTTAACACTCTTGAGTGTGGAGTCATATAAACTCACAGGAGAGTTCGTTTAACACATGAGTTTTTGCTTTGTGAGTCTGATTTAACATCTGTTTCCATCTGTTATTGTTTCAGTTTCTTCACAGCCGGTCACTTCTACAACATCTACCAGTTTCACTACTTCAGGTGAATGTGTTGCTGGACTAAGATATGGCTTTCAAAAGATGCTTATCCAAATAACCTTCTTCATTTAGAATACAGTAATTCAACATATGAGTCTGATTTCTGTTTCCATCTGTTATTATTTCAGTTTCTCTACAGCCGGTCAATTTCACAACATCTACAGGTGAGGATGATTTTAGACTGAAAGTTGCCTTCTAAAATAAATCTCTTATCTTCATGAACAGCAGTTTCCATCTGTGCTTTTTCCATCTTTTATATTTTTCAGTTTATGTAACGCCGGTCACTTCCACAACTTCTACAAATTCTACATCTACAGGTCAGTGCGTTGCTGGACTGGATTGTAATATTGAAACACAACCATTCACAATCTTCATAAGGAACATTGTAATTCAACATCTGAGTCTGATCTAACATCTGTTTCCATCTGTTATTGTTTCAGTTTCTTCACAGCCGGTCACTTCTACAACATCTACCAGTTCCACTACTTCAGGTGAATGTGTTGCTGGACTGAGATATGGCTTTCCAAAGATGCTTATCCAAATAACCTTCTTCATTTAGAACACAGTAATTCAACAGCTGAGTCTAACATCTCTTTCCATCTGCTATTGTTTCAGTTTCTTTACAGTCGGTCACTTCCACAACTTCTAGTTCCACATCTACAGGTGAGCATGTTCCCGGACTGGGATGTAGCTTCATGAAGAACACACTAATTCAGCATCTGAGTCTGATTTTAAACTTGGTTTAAGTTTCTGTCTCGTATTGTTTCAGTTCCTTTACACATGGTCACTTCCACAACATATACTAGTCCCACAGGTGAATGTGTTGCCAAACTGGAATTTAGCTTCCTTTCAAAAGCAACTCTTCTTAATAATTGTGTTCAGTAATTCAACATCTGAGTCTGATCTAACATCTGTTTCCATCTGTTATTGTTCAAGTTTATTTACAGCCGGTCACTTCTACAACATCTACTAGTTCCACTACTTCAGGTGAATGTGTTGCTGGACTAAGATATGGCTTTCCAAAAAAGTGTCTCCAATTAACCTTCTTCATTTGGAATACAGTAATTCAACATCTGAGTCTGATTTCTGTTTCCATCTGTTATTATTTCAGTTTCTCCACAGCCGGTCAATTTCACACCATCTAGAGGTGAGGATGATTTTAGACTGAAAGTTGCCTTTAAAAATAAATCTCTTATCTTCATGAAAACCATCTGTTCTTTTTCCATCTTTTATATTTTTCAGTTTATGTAACGCCGGTCACTTCCACAACTTCTACAAATTCTATATCTACAGGTCAGTGCGTTGCTGGACTGGATTGTAATATTAAAACACAACCATTCACAATCTTCATGAAGAACATTGTAATTCAACATCTGAGTCTGATCTAACATCTCTTTCCATCTGCTATTATTTCAGTTTCTTTACAGTCGGTCACTTCCACAACTTCTAGTTCTAAATCTACTGGTAAGGTTTATGCCGAACTGAATTCTGATATTAAAATGCAACCCTCCACATAACAACACAGAACTTCCTTTAAATCTGACTTGGCATCTCTTCCCATCTTGTAAATTTTACAGATTATTTGCAGACAACCTCTTCCACAACATCTACTAGTCCCACATCTACAGGTGAGCATGTTCCTGGACTGGGATGCAGCTTCATGAAGAACACAGTAATTCATCATCTGAGTCTGATCTAACATCTGTTTCCATCTGTTATTGTTTCAGTTTCTTCACAGCCGGTCACTTCTACAACATCTACCAGTTCCACTACTTCAGGTGAATGTGTTGCTGGACTAAGATATGGCTTTCCGAAGAATCTTCTCCAAATAACTGTCTTCATGTAGAACACAGTAATTCAACAAAAAAGTCCAGTGTTAAATTAACTCTCTTGGGAGTTTATTTGGCTCCAGACTCAAGAGTGTTAAAGTTAATTAGTGATTAATTGAATGATGATTGACCATCATTGAAGACACCTGATGTTAATAAGGAGAATCACTGAAGGAGAAAATTTCCTTTTTGAAGTCACCATTATGTTGATCATTGTTCTACTTTAGCTGGCCTCCTTGACCATTAAACTATTAACATTAGATTTATTTTGGCTATTGTAACTGAATTACAACTGCCAGATGAACTAAGAGAAAATGTGATCAGGTGGTGTTGGTTATGGTTTGGCATAACCGTCATTTGTCCAGAATCACAAAACTCGTTTAGAGCGTTAGGTTTACCTTGTTGATTACAGCAACACTATAATTCTTTACCAAATGTTTTTCAGCACTTTCAATATAATCCAACATATTTCTTAAAAATTGTTCTCATCAAAAGAGTTTGAAAAATTATTTTATTTAGACACACTAACATCAATAATGTGCCTGTGAATCTTAACAATGGTGAATAAAATAAAGCATGTTGAAGTGAATTATGGGCTCCACCAATCAAAACAAATGCATGGCTCCCATCATGCATTGCAGTATGAATAAATTATGATCTGAATTGTCTTGGACAGAATATTCATTTAGGAAAAGGAAATTACTATCACCATTGTTGAGATTCATACACTGATTCTTGATGTCTGTGAGTGCCTAAATGACAGATTTTTTTAAATCAAATAACTTAAGGCATTTGAACTGTAACATTTTGGATCTTATGCTGTAGAATCAATGTGAAGCTGTAATCAACCAGATACATTTAAATCAGAGATTAGGTTCTAAATTAGATCAGTGATTCAATTCAACCGATGATGTTGTTAAAACATAACACTATCAGATCATATTTGTCTTTGTTCATCTGGCAGTTATAATGATGTTATAACAGTGAAACAAAATCTAAAGTAAAAATTGTAAGGGTTAACTGCCTAACTGAAGCAAACACTGATATCCCTAGAGGTGACTTAAAATTGTGATTTTTTTTTCACCTTCAGTGATTCTACTTGTAACATCAGGTGTCTTAAATAATGGTCAATCATCACTCAAATATCCACTTAATTATCTCATTAACTTTAACACCTCTTCAGTGTTCATTTAACACTCTTGAGTGTGGAGTCGTATAAACTCACAGGAGAGTTCATTTAACACATGAGTTTTTGCTTTGTGAGTCTGATCTAACATCTGTTTCCATCTGTTATTGTTTCAGTTTCTCTAGAGCCGGTCAATTTCACATCTACAGGTGAGGCTGATTTTAGACTGAAAGTTGCCTTTTAAAATAAATCTCTTATCTTCATGAAAACCATCTGTTCTTTTTCCATCTTTTATATTTTTCAGTTTATGTAACGCCGGTCACTTCCACAACTTCTACAAATTCTATATCTACAGGTCAGTGCGTTGCTGGACTGGATTGCAATATTGAAACACAACCATTCACAATCTTCATGAAGAACATTGTAATTCAACATCTGAGTCTGATCTAACATCTCTTTCCATCTGCTATTATTTCAGTTTCTTTACAGTCGGTCACTTCCACAACTTCTAGTTCTAAATCTACTGGTAAGGTTTATGCCGAACTGAATTCTGATATTAAAATGCAACCCTCCACATAACAACACAGAACTTCCTTTAAATCTGACTTGGCATCTCTTCCCATCTTGTAAATTTTACAGATTATTTGCAGACAACCTCTTCCACAACATCTACTAGTCCCACATCTACAGGTGAGCATGTTCCTGGACTGGGATGCAGCTTCATGAAGAACACAGTAATTCATCATCTGAGTCTGATCTAACATCTGTTTCCATCTGTTATTGTTTCAGTTTCTTCACAGCCGGTCACTTCTACAACATCTACCAGTTCCACTACTTCAGGTGAATGTGTTGCTGGACTAAGATATGGCTTTCCGAAGAATCTTCTCCAAATAACTGTCTTCATGTAGAACACAGTAATTCAACAAAAAAGTCCAGTGTTAAATTAACTCTCTTGGTGTCACGGGGCCGGTGGAGTGTAGGCAGAAGAAGGAGAGCAAGAGGCGAATGCTCCAATGCAAACACTTTAATATAACTCAAAATAGCAAACAGGCACGGGTACACTCACGACACGGAAGGGTAACATCAACAATGACCGACAATAACTGAATGCAACAGAGGGAACTAAATACAGGGAGGAATCAAACATAACGATGTGAAGACAGGTGATACTGATGAACAAGACGAGGAACAGGTGGCTGATGAGGGAGTGAGTTCAGGAGTGGAGACAAGAGGATCCTGGGAAGTGTAGTGCAGATGACAAGACAGGACGGTGCAGACGAAGACTGTGACACTTGGGAGTTTATTTGGCTCCAGACTCAAGAGTGTTAAAGTTAATTAGTGATTAATTGAATGATGATTGACCATCATTGAAGACACCTGATGTTAATAAGGAGAATCACTGAAGGAGAAAATTTCCTTTTTGAAGTCACCATTATGTTGATCATTGTTCTACTTTAGCTGGCCTCCTTGACCGTTAAACTCTTAACATTAGATTTATTTTGGCTATTGTAACTGAATTACAACTGCCAGATGAACTAAGAGAAAATGTGATCAGGTGGTGTTGGTTATGGTTTGGCATAACCGTCATTTGTCCAGAATCACAAAACTCGTTTAGAGCGTTAGGTTTACCTTGTTGATTACAGCAACACTATAATTCTTTACCAAATGTTTTTCAGCACTTTCAATATAATCCAACATATTTCTTAAAAATTGTTCTCATCAAAAGAGTTTGAAAAATTATTTTATTTAGACACACTAACATCAATAATGTGCCTGTGAATCTTAACAATGGTGAATAAAATAAAGCATGTTGAAGTGAATTATGGGCTCCACCAATCAAAACAAATGCATGGCTCCCATCATGCATTGCAGTATGAATAAATTATGATCTGAATTGTCTTGGACAGAATATTCATTTAGGAAAAGGAAATTACTATCACCATTGTTGAGATTCATACACTGATTCTTGATGTCTGTGAGTGCCTAAATGACAGATTTTTTTAAATCAAATAACTTAAGGCATTTGAACTGTAACACAAATTTTGGATCTTATGCTGTAGAACCAATGTGACTGTGTAATCAACCAGATACATTTAAATCAGAGATTAGGTTCTAAATTAGATCAGTGATTCAATTCAACCGATGATGTTGTTAAAACATAACACTATCAGATCATATTTTTCTTTGTTCATCTGGCAGTTATAATGATGTTATAACAGTGAAACAAAATCTAAAGTAAAAATTGTAAGGGTTAACTGCCTAACTGAAGCAAACACTGATATCCCTAGAGGTGACTTAAAATTGTGATTTTTTTTTTCACCTTCAGTGATTCTACTTGTAACATCAGGTGTCTTCAATAATGGTCAATCATCACTCAAATATCCACTTAATTATCTCATTAACTTTAACACCTCTTCAGTGTTCATTTGAGTCGTATAAACTCACAGGAGAGTTCATTTAACACATGAGTTTTTGCTTTGTGAGTCTGATTTAACATCTGTTTCCATCTGTTATTGTTTCAGTTTCTTCACAGCCGGTCACTTCTACAACATCTACCAGTTCCACTACTTCAGGTGAATGTGTTGCTGGACTAAGATATGGCTTTCCAAAAAAAGCATCTCCAATTAACCTTCTTCATTTGGAATACAGTAATTCAACATCTGAGTCTGATTTCTGTTTCCATCTGTTATTATTTCCGTTTCTCTAGAGCCGGTCAATTTCACATCTACAGGTGAGGCTGATTTTAGACTGAAAGTTGCCTTTTAAAATAAATCTCTTATCTTCATGAAAACCATCTGTTCTTTTTCCATCTTTTATATTTTTCAGTTTATGTAACGCCGGTCACTTCCACAACTTCTACAAATTCTATATCTACAGGTCAGTGCGTTGCTGGACTGGATTGTAATATTGAAACACAACCATTCACAATCTTCATGTAGAACACAGTAATTCAACATCTGAGTCTGATCTAACATCTCTTTCCATCTGCTATTATTTCAGTTTCTTTACAGTCGGTCACTTCCACAACTTCTAGTTCTACATCTACTGGTAAGGTTTATGCCGAACTGAATTCTGATATTAAAATGCAACCCTCCATATAACAACACAGAACTTCCTTTAAATCTGACTTGGCATCTCTTCCCATCTTGTAAATTTTACAGATTATTTGCCAACAACCTCTTCCACAACATCTACTAGTCCCACATCTACAGGTGAGCGTGTTCCCAGACTGGGATGTAGCTTCATGAAGAACACAGTAATTCGGCCTCTGAGTCTGATTTTAAACTTGGTTTAAGTTTCTGTCTCGTATTGTTTCAGTTCCTTTACACATGGTCACTTCCACAACATATACTAGTCCCACAGGTGAATGTGTTGCCAAACTGGAATTTAGCTTCCTTTCAAAAGCAACTCTTCTTAATAATTGTGTTCAGTAATTCAACATCTGAGTCTGATCTAACATCTGTTATTGTTCAAGTTTCTTTACAGCCGGTCACTTCTACAACTTCTAGCTCTACATCTACTGGTGAGGATGATGTTGAAATTGACTATGATATTAAAATGCAACCCTCCATGTCTTCATGAACAACACAGCTTACTTTAAATATGACTTGGCATCTCTTCTCGTAAATTTACATCAGTCCCACTAATACAGTACTTCCGCATCTGAGTCTGATTTAAACTCTGTTTTTGTCTTTTATTGGTTGTGTTGGTTCAGTTCCATTACACATGGTCACTTCCACAACATCGACTACTCCCACTACTACAGGTGAATGAATGAGTTGCCAAACTGGAATGTGCTTTTCAAAAAAAGCACCTCATATTAATTGTCTTCATGAATAACACAGTAATGTAGCATCTATTTTACTACGTTTTTGTTTCAGGTCCTTTAGCGCCAATCACTTCCACAGCATCTACCAGTCATAATTCTTCAGGTTAGTGTAATGTTGGACTTCATCCAAATTTGTTTTTGGTGACAATATATGTTTTGGTCTCATTAATGTTATTTAGAAAGCCTCAAAAACACATATGCATGTGATCTGAGTTTGATTTGACGTTTATATTACACGAATGCAGTGTGATTGTGTGTTTTGTCTGTTTTCCGTGGCTCTATCTCAAAGTAAGAAAGATATGACTTTTAGGATCATGAGATATAACAGAATCTCATGATCCTCAGTGTTAGGAATTTTTAAAGGTCACTAACTGTACTGTACACCGTAACTTTTGGAAAGTCTGTGAAAAGGCGCCATTGCTGTGTTCTGTAAGAGGACATCGAGTTTTGCTAGTGTGTTAGCTTGATTTGGGGGAAGTTTCACAGACCTTTGTTGAGTGAGTTTGCTCGATTATTCATTAAATATAATGAATCATTTGTGTGTGTCTGATCGGTCTCACTGAATTAAAGGAAAGGAATTTAAAATGATTTCATAAAACTTTTCACATTCTAGGTCTGATTGCCACACTGGATGAATGCAGGGTACGTTGATGCTGGCTACATTTCTGAAACTAAAGCTAAATAATGCTAAATAGCCAGTGTTTTTGTTTAAAATATGCTGAACTATTTGTTGTTTCTTTAACTTTGTAACAGAATATGAACACCCTGTCAACACGTTGATCTCACAGTGATGTATCCATATGATCACAATGTGAATTCATAATGATCTAAAATTGTAACCGCACAGCACTCTCACTGTGTGCTCATATTATGGCCATAGTTAAACACTGTCATTAAAACTCTATAACCATCAAAAAAAAAAAAAATCAAAATATTTTTTTTCACAAACATTTATCATAGAGAATGTTTAAATACTAATATCAGCTTACGAGTAGTAGTGGGAAGTTCGGATCATTTTACTGACTTGGATCTTTGAGTCTCGTTCAGCAAAATAAACGAATCTTTTATCGAGTCGTTTCGGTAATTTCATCAATTTATAATTAAAATGTCATTTTAAATATCTCAAAACATCTAGTACTTACGAAAATCTTGATTACATTTGTAAAAACAATAAAAAATAACATAAATAACTATAGGGTAATGCAGCCAAAGCTAAATTATAAGCAACTGAAATAACTGTATGTCACAGTTCTGTCACCCTTGTCTGGGTTTCTCTTGATTTAGTGACAGAGCTGTGCCACTCCTGGTTTGTCATGTGTTTGTTTAGTCTGGTCGGTTGTGAGCACATGGCTGTCATGTTATTTCCTTGTGCCATGTACTCTCCTGTCTATTGTCTAACCCCGCCCATCTTGTTATCTCGTTATTGTTTTATTTCCCCCACCTGCCTGCCTCGTTACCCTTTTATGTTTGTTCCCCTATTTAATCTCCCTGTGTTTGCAGTCCTGTGCTGGTTCGTTGTCCATGTTCCTAGTGTTTCCTGTATCCTGCCTGATTCTGTCTAGTTTTCCCCCACGAGGGAGTTTTTGTTGTAGTTTTATTTTGTGTTATTTACTTAATAAATATACCCATTGTTTTGCACTTGAGTCCTCGCACCTTAATCCATCCGTTCCGTGACAGAACGAACCAGCCAAACTGAGGACTCAGCAAGCATGGGTATTTTCCTTTTCCCATCTCCCTGCCCCTCCGCTTTTCCGATGGTGGAGAGACTCGACAAGCTCCTTTCACTGCGGCAAGGGGAAAGCAGTGTGAAGGAGCTTGCCTTCAAGTTCCTGTATTTTGCGGAGGGGCTCAACATTGGTGACACAGTGCTTAAGGATAGATTCAACACCAGCCTTAAGGAGCCTGTTCCTGCCTGGGAGATGGGAATGCTGGGGACACTATCATTCTGGCAGTTTGTGGGGTACGTTTACCATCGCGGATCCAGTGCAGACTGGGAGGGTGGTCTTCCGCCACTTGGGCCACCTCCCACTGACCTCACAAACTGCTATGTCCCTGGTCCTCCGATGACCCCTTTGGGGAGAGGGAGGAGGAAGAAAGGGTGTGACCCATCAGCCTCCTATCTAGTGGAGGCTGAAGGAGCTGCAGCACCCCCAGAGGCAGTTACTTTCTCATCGCCTCGCCAGCGCAGGAGGAGGAGGGCTCCTGATGCTTCCCTTCGGCCGGTGGTCCAGGAGGACCCAACTTCGACGGTCTCAAGGCCAGTAGTCCAGAAGGACCCGACTTTGGCGCTCCCAAGCCCGGTGGTCCAGGAGGACCCGACTTCGATGGTCCCAAGTCCGGTGATCCAGGAGGACCCGACTTCAGTGGTCCCAAGCCTGGTGGTCCAGAAGGATCCGACTGCAGTGGTCCCAGAGCTGTCCTCTCTCCCTGCAGTGCTCTCAGAGGTGGCCAAGAAGCTCGTAGCACCAACACGTTCACGTAGACGGGGGAGGAAAGCTTCCGGCCAACTACAGGGTCCGGAGATGTTTCCGAAGCCTGCAGCCGACTCCCCGAAGCCCCTAGTAAAGCCTGCAGTTGAACCTCTGAAGCCTCCAGTGAAGTCTGCAGTCGAACCACCGATGCTTCCAGTGAAACCTGCAGCTGAACCCTCGAAGCCTCCAGGGAGGCCTGCAGCCGCGCCCAAGCGCCTCGCCCTGCCGGCGCCGCCCAAGCGCCTCGCCCTGCCGGCGCCACCCAAGCGCTTCTCCCTGCTGGCGCCGCCCAAGCTCCTGGCCCTGCCGGCACCGGTCATGTTACAATTCAAGCCCGAATCTGTTCACGTTGTTCCTGCCATACAAGAGACTGTTCACGTCAGTTCTGCCGAGCCAGAGACCGCTCCCACCAGGTCAGCCATGCCAGTGTTTCCTAACAAGGTAGCCGCTGCCAAGCCGGGGTCTTTGGACAGTATGGTCGCTACCGAACCAACGTCTCCAGACGATATGGCCATGTCTGTTTCTGAGCCGGTGTCTTTTCCTGATCCGGGTTCTGTACCTGAACTGGTGTCTGCGCCTGAACTGCCTGGTCCACCCAGGCCACCTGAACTGCCTGGTCCACCCAGGCCACCTGAACTGCCTGCTCAGCACTGGTCACCTGAACAGCCTGGTCCACCCTGGCCACCTGAACAGCCTTGTCCGTCCTGGCCACCAGAATTGCCTGATCCGTCCTGGCCACCTGAACTGCCTGATCCGTCCTGGCCACCTGAACTGCCTGGTCCGCCTTGGCCACCTGAACTGCCTGGTTCACCCTGGCTGCCTGAACTGCCTGCTCCGCCATGGCCGCCTGAACTGCCTGCTCCGCCCTGGTTCTCAGTGAGGAATCCAGACCCGCCTGAGTCTCCCTGGTCCGTCCCGCCGGCACCACCCTGGTCCTCAGCCAGGAATGCAGACCCACCCGTCCCTCCCTGGCTCAACCCTCCCGTCCCTCCCCTCTCTGTGTATGTGTTCTGATCTGCTTGTCTTGTCTGCTGTTTGGTCTAACACGTTGGATGTTCCTGTCTTGTTTTTGGTGTCCCTCCTTGGGAACGCCAGGTGGCGTCCCTTTGAGGGGGGGTAGTGTCACAGTTCTGTCACCCTTGTCTGGGTTTCTCTTGATTTAGTGACAGAGCTGTGCCACTCCTGGTTTGTCATGTGTTTGTTTAGTCTGGTCGGTTGTGAGCACATGGCTGTCATGTTATTTCCTTGTGCCATGTACTCTCCTGTCTATTGTCTAACCCCGCCCATCTTGTTATCTCGTTATTGTTTTATTTCCCCCACCTGCCTGCCTCGTTACCCTTTTATGTTTGTTCCCCTATTTAATCTCCCTGTGTTTGCAGTCCTGTGCTGGTTCGTTGTCCATGTTCCTAGTGTTTCCTGTATCCTGCCTGATTCTGTCTAGTTTTCCCCCACGAGGGAGTTTTTGTTGTAGTTTTATTTTGTGTTATTTACTTAATAAATATACCCATTGTTTTGCACTTGAGTCCTCGCACCTTAATCCATCCGTTCCGTGACACTGTATTAATAGTTGCTGGGTCTCAAGTTCAGGCAAGACCCCATTTCTCTTGGCTGTGTGCACGAATTTTTTTATAACAGCGCACACAGCATCGCGTCCGAGGATGACCGACTTCAAGCCGAATCTGCCCGAGCATACGTCTCACCGTTAATATCCAATAGGATATGTATATAGTTCGTTCCTCCTCCTTTTTTATGTTCTGAATTATATATAAATATAAAAAAGTATGAAGTATGAAAGAAATGTATGTACATTTTTAGAATAACTAATTTCTACATTAAATACAACAATACGCCATCACATTCGCGACTCTCTCGGTTTTCTTCTGGCTGCGTGAAATCAGCGTATAACAAACGAACGTCGCTCTGCATACGTCATCTCCTTCATTGCTCTGATTGGTTTGAGGTCTATCCAATTGCGCTTAGAGGCATTTGAGAAACGTTCGTTGGTGACGCCCCTTTGGAAATGATTTGTCTATGAAGCTTTTAACCAGGTTAGGTGGAAACTACTCCAGTGATGAAATAATACCACTTCATTATGATTGTATCCTTATTAGCGAACACATACTTGATCACATCTCTTGCTATAACAAAACACTCCCCTTGCTATAACAAAAAACACATAAGCAAGGGGTCAAACTAAAGCAAACTCTGATCTCCACAATGGTAACCTATTACTTTCAAACTAACTCTTTTAAGAGGTCCAGACCCGTGTCTGCTTGGAAATCTTCGAATGTTAGTGGATAATGTTCTATTAATGTGATCACTAAACATGCTTACAATGTTTGTAGAGTGTTATCCTACCTTATAGACCATTTCACAAGATGTAAACAACACTGGTCCAGAAGCACTTCCTGTTTCAGTTTTTTAACACTACATAAAAGCTGGGATAAAATACAACCAACAGAACATTAAAACTGAATCAAAAAGTTAAACAAACAACTTTAAGATGTTTTCTTACATGTGAAATAAAGAAAACATTCACAAACTGAAACAGGAAGTGTTTCTGGACCAGTGTTGTTTACATCAAAATGGTCTATAGAAGAAGCCTTTTGGTAACAAAAATAAAAATAGCTACAGAAAACATTACAAGACCATAACATAATGCTCTCAAAACATTCATAGAACAATAACATGTCTAGCTAGGATGAGCTCATATTGTGGTCATGGCATGAGCACACAGTGAGGTTACACTTTTACATCACTGTGAACTCAGATTGCTGACGTTGTGACCACATGGTGAGATCAAACTGTTGACTGGGGCAATTCATTTTTGTTTGACTTCAAATAGTCCACAGTACAGTCCTTTAGTTTTCGGTTTTATTTGTAAAGCTCAATTGTGATTTCAGAGTCAGACCCTCGGACAATGTGTAGATAATCTTCTTGACCGGATAGAAAACATTACAGATGAAGTGCTCCCTTTGAACGTAAGACAAAAATAACAAAATAATAATCATTTTTCACTGACTGAAATCATACTATAGCAATGTTTTCTTTTGTTTCAACATTTACAAATGCTTACTAAAATAGGATGTGAAAAAAATTTGGAATATGGTCCTCAACGCATCAGAGAAGGTTTTAGCGCCATCATCAGCTGACCCAAATAAACTGGTGTCAGACGGAAACCGTGTGTTACAAGCCAGCGAGAAGCTGGTGTCCATGTTGGTGAAGCCGACAGACACATATGACAATGTCAGTTTTACTCTTGACTCTGTGGGTAAGTGAAAAACTATTTTGATTGTCTTATTGTTAATACGGATTAATTTAATAATTGCAGTTTTTAATCAGAGGTACAAATCTTCATGGTTGGACCAAACGCAACCTTAGATAAAATCCCTCGACTTAACACAACAAATTCTTTTGTGGACATTGATCTCATTGGGATTGCCAAGAACAACAATGGTATGTGGCGTATTTTAGTTTTATAATTTGATTTTTTTTAAAAATGATAATAATAAAAAAACGTCTGCTTCTGTCACACAGGATCAGCTGCTGTGGCTTTCATGAGTTATACCACATTGGAGAATCTACTGAAGCCAGACTTCTTCAACACGTCAAATGACACGAAGAAAACCATGATGTCCACTGTGATCTCAGCTACTCTTCTCAAAATCACCAACACTAAACTCACCAAACCAGTCAACTTCACCCTCAAACACATCAGAGTGAGAGACTGAAATGTGTTTTGTCCAACCTGAGAACTGATCATCTATTATTCCAATGCTTTGTCACAACACTGTAAAAAACAGTAAAAACAGTAAAAAACAGTAAACTAACAGTAAACCATATACAGTGAAAAACTTTAATATCTCTCAGAGGAGATTTCGTGTAATTTTACAGTAAAATACTGTTAAATTTAAGGATTTTGGAAGTACACTGAAAAAAAAAAACATACCGTTGCATTTTCTGTACCTTACGGTAAAAGACTGGCGGCAGTGGTTTCCAACCACTAAACAGCACTGAAGTTTACGGTTTACATTACGGTTTACATTAAAAAAATTGGCAGCTTGTTGGAGGTGCTTTATCTTAAAAAAATACGGTGGTAATATTTTAGGTTTTATGGAACCGAACTTGATAACTGGCAGCTGTGGTTACCAAAACAATATTGTATTACAAACAAATGTGTCACTAAAGTTGTTATTGAGAATGACCAGAAGTTTAGATGTTGATGCTTTATTAAAAACAATAAAGTTTGAAGTCACCATTATGGAGATCAGTGTTTGCTTTAGTTGGGCTCTTGGCCCTTTACTTTCTAACTTTAGATTTTCTCTGACTCCCTTCACTTTCGTTATGGCATGTTATCTATTTTTGATGTTAAAAAATCATCATGTAGTGGTGTAATTCACTGATCTCATTAAGAGTCTTTTATTGTATGAGGTCTGTTTTATGTATTTCATTTTTATGAGTATAATAGGTCTATGACCCTACTGTATGCGAGCCAGCAGTGACAAACAAATAATCAGAAGAAACGTAAAAACACAGTGTATAAAATTCCTTTTGTATGATTTAGACCCACACAGACATCAATAGTCAGCGTATTAATCTCAACAATGGTGACAATCAACTAAATAATAATATAACTCTTAACATTACAAAAAAAGCTACTAAAAAGTCGTAAAAGTAAAATGGCTATTTATAACAAAGCTGCCAGTTTTTTAACATAAGTTTCACAGGTGTTTTTTTTTTTTTTGCCCGTAAATTGAAGTCCCAAAAACATAAAAGGTTGCCACCATATTTTTTTTAAAGTAAAATTCTGGCAACCACAGCTGCCGTTTTTTTTTACTGTAAATTTCACAGGTTTTTTTTTTTACAGTGTTTTACGAATTTGTACAATTAGTCTAAACCCCAGTGATGGGTAGGGCTGTGCTCAGGAGTAGGTTATTCATACGCATTGGGCAACTCCTAAAATATGTATTAATTGCCCTGATATCGGGTTGAAAATTAATTTTTGTATTGTTTTCTGCATGTTCTTTCTTCTTTTTGCAGGAGTTTGACCCCAGCGGTTCCCTGTCCTGTGTGTACTGGAATATCAGCGAGTGGATTGTAGACGGTTGTTCTGTTTTAGAGACCAATAGCAGCTACACTGTGTGTTCGTGTGTTCATCTGTCCACATTCGCTCTCATCATGCAAACCAGCCGCCCATCAGAGGTACGAGAACATTTATGGTGAGCGTTGAAGAACAGCACAGATTTAGCACTCATGTTCTCTGACATGTTTTCTCAGAGCGACTCACTGATGGACCTGTTGAATTTGGTGTGTGTGACCGTGGGGTTGGTGTTCTTCAGTTTGGCCCTGTTGACCTTTGCCCTTTGTCAGTGGAGTCCTGGAGTGAATAATGTGGCTCGAATCAACATCTGCATCAGTCTTCTGTTGGCTCACCTTCTGTTCCTGCTCACACAACAGTTCCTGAGACTCATACGCCCTCATCAGGTGAGAATGATGAAGGAGCTCTACAGCTCAGCACAGTCTCACTGAGAATCATCATAACCGTCTCTCATGATCTCCAGGTGTTGTGTGCCGTGATATCAGGAGTGCTGCACTTCCTCTTTCTCTCTGGCTTTGTGTGGATGTTCATTGAAGCTGTGCTGCTCTTCATCTGTGTGAAGAACCTATCACAGATCAGCTCCACTAATAGGAAGGCGCTTAGCAATGAATTCCTGTGTGTGATTGGATATACGGTTCCTCTGTTTGTGGTGGCCATGCTTGCTGTGGTGAATCCTAAATCCCATGGAAGTGAAATGTGAGTTTAAGTGACTCATTGGTCAAAATTATCTTCATCCATGTTTGTTCATTGATTATTTGACTTTATCTTCCTCAAACAGATGCTGGATTAAAATTGATGAAGGTTTCATCTGGAGTTTTCTAGGACCAGTTTGCATGATAATATCAGTAAACAAACACATTTCTCGTTTAATTTTGCTCATGACTTTGTATTAAATGGAAGAAAAAATTGGATTAATTATATGTTTTTTTTTTACTTTGCAGTCAAACACAATTCTCTTCATCAAGATCATCATCAATCTGAACTCAACTCTCAAAAATCGGAACACTGAAGTTTCACAGATGAAACAAACCAAGTAACAAACATGATTCAATTGCTGTATAAACAAAAAAACATATAGTCAAGTATGACACATTAAGTATATGATTTTTCTGTTTTTCGACAGGATTATGGCATTTAAAACAGTGGCTCAGTTTGTGGTTCTTGGTTGCTCCTGGATTCTGGGTTTCTTCACTAGTGACAGGAAGGAGCTGGAGATCCTCTTCCTGATCTTGAACTCCCAGCAGGGAACCTTCATCTTCCTGGTCTATTGTGTCCTCAATAATGAGGTCAGACATTTTTCCATCCAATAAGTAAACCATTTCAGTGTCTCCATAGAAAATGCATCTAAAATGCAAATCTAGTCTCTTAAAACACCTTTTTTTTTACCTGTTTAATAACGAACTCCATTGCGGTTCATGCTCAGCTCCTCTCGTCTCATTCTTGTCCAGGTCAGACAGCAGTACAGGAACTGCTTCAGACGTATTTGCAGTGCACTTAAACAACGCTGAGGACTACAGCTAAAACTTCAATATTTTACAAATAAATGATGGTAAATAACAAATGAATTTACATTGTATAGAATCAGTTATTTAGTCGAGTTAAATTATATTTTTGTTTGTTAAACTAAGAAAGATCACTGATTTGGGGAATATGTATACAATAATTCATAATTGATAATTAATAATTATTCATACAAATTTTAACCAGATAAACGTTACATTTATTAAATCTCCCGAAAAGGGATGAAATGTTCCCTGCATCTGCATTCATGTACCTAGACAATTAACCACAAAGGATTATTATTAATTGTATATAGACAGGTTCACAGAAAACGGTCTGCATTTTACATTTTCAAAATACTAATTCTGTTTGATTTATAAGCTTGTGTAACTCATGACATGAGTCTTGTATTCAGGTTGAAGTTCCCACCAGGATTCATCTTTTTCTTTAAAGCATAAAATAAACTTTACCTACCTTTAACACGTATCCAAAAATTTCTCAGTAAGTGTTTCCCATATATTATCTATAAGTTATATTTATTCGACAAATTGTAGCTTTTCCCGCAGAATACATGCAACAAAATGTAATGATGTTTTATGGGGTGAGAAAACTTGACATAATTCAAGATGTATTATTTGGAATCTGGAATTTTGGAATCATTTTGCTATTGTAATGCTTCTTATTTTATTAGTATAATTTTTTTTTACTGGAAAACAGTGAATACATTTTTTCTAATTACTATTATTGTGACTGTCTGTGACGTTTTGTGGCGAACCCGAAACATTACCACAAAAAATAAATAAATAAATAAATAAATAAAATAATGATTAATTAAATGACTGTCTCCACCCATTTCCGTTGCTAAGTGAAAAAACGGAAATGAGGGAATCACATAAAAAAGGAGTACACTGATGAAAAAAGGGAGAAAGTATTGGAAAAGACGCAAAGTTTATGAAAAGTGCGATTGAACGAGATGAGAACCGGAAAGCCTCAATAGTTTCAGTCAAACGCCAACTGGAAGTAGTGATGGCAAAATGAGGCTTCCTGAACCGCACTGAGTCCTCGCAGCCCATTGCTTCACCCAAAGGTTCATTACTCGAAGCTTCATTCAGTATTGCTCACTAGTGACACTGTGCAAAGAAAATAGCAGACAAATTATTTAATTCTGAAACGATGACCTGAGCAGACTTATGATGTCCGTACCTGGGAGACGGAGTCAAAATCCTCAGCTTGTGCAGTGCCTTGCTGGAGCGGACGCTGGAGAGAAAATAACGCTCTTCATAACAAAGTCTTGTACTTGTCCTGGACAAGAACCCCAAGTGAGCGGTGACCGTCTGGATCCTGGGCTATATCCATTTACAATCCATCAGAGCATCATTATTGCTAAGGGCTACGGCGTGGCTGGATTCGCGGCTGGTTTTTCCCCAAACACTCATATCAATTCACCTCTGCTTTTTCCACATCCGGGTCATTCCGGTTCCCCCACAAACTCAGGTTGTGAATGAGTAATATATTATTTATTTATTTTGGGTTTGGTTTTGTTTTGAGTTTTTTTTCCCCCTTTATGACAACCAAATTGACATGTTTTGATATTTCTTTTTGGATGAACGAACTGTTGAATCTGTGGATTATTGGACAGAACTTTGACTGAAAAATGTAGTGGTTTATGTATATATTTTTTTCCTCTTTTTTTCGTTTGAAATACAGACATTGCTAAACTGAATCTGAACTGTTCCATGGTGATTTATTTTTATATTTTTTTTGTATGTAACTGGTGGCACAAGCTATCTGGGTTATTATAATGAAAGATTGACAGGGATACACCTGTCTGGCGCCTGAACATATTAATTTTTATTTTCAAACAATTGTTGGTTGATTATTTGAATTCATTATCGGGTAAGCCACCGTTACAGAAGTGGCGCCCGAACAGGGACTTGAAACTTGGAAAACTGGAACCTTGAAGCCTTAAAACTTAAAGGTTTTTTTTCCCCTCTTGTGATCATCGGATATTTGCTCTTGGGAACCATTGCAATATCAGAGTGGACATTTAACCCTTTTTGTGATTATTTGAACTTTGGGTGAATTGAAACTGTGAATATCCAACAGTCTGTTTGGAACATTTGTGGCCAAAATTGTGTGTGTGAAAAAAAAAAAAAAAAACTTCTGTGAAGTAACAACCCTGTAGTTTGTTATTTTGGTGCCCCTTTGCCCAAAAGAATTTGACACAGGTTCCCTAATATTGTCTTCTCTGAATTGTGAAATTGTAACCACTTTGTTGTTTGTTATTTTGGTGCCCCATTTTCCCTAAAGAATTTGAGACCATTCAAATAGTGTTCTCATTTCTGATTTATTTTATTTTTTCTCCTCTCCAACATTTCACAATTGACCATTGCCATATTCACACATACACTTCCACCATGGCCAATACCCCTCCACCACAATCAACCTTTGGGGCAATTGATCCTCCAGACATTGCAACACCCAAATGGCTCCTGGTGCAACAAACCCAACAGCAACCCCGACAACCACCTCCTGTTCCCAATTTCTACTCGACCTTGTTGTCTATAAGTCATATAATGGAGGTCTATGGTCACCACCTCAAAGAGCGTGCACAGAGAAGTCCAGATTAAACATGATTTAATGACTCGTAAATGTAAGTACACATTGATGGCACATTGAAGTACACATTGATGAGAAAACAAACAGTATTTATATCGTTTTTTTACCTCGTGTAACCACAGCCACGTCCAAGTGATCTGAGGGCGCGAGCGCTTCAGTCTGCACAACTGCGCCGGAAAGCACCGGAAGTGAAACAAATTGCGATTTCCTGTATATCTAAATATGTTTAGATCTTCACAGTGAAGCGTAACACTTCCGAGATCTCTGTGTGAACGATAATTGACGTACATGCGTGAGAGATCACTTCCGGCGCTTTCCCGCGCCCTCAGATCAGTTGGACGTGGCTGTGGTTATGAGGTAAAAACGATATAAATACAGTTCGTTTTATCACACAAACCGCTCGTTTCGTGTCTTAGGCCATCAATGTGTACTTACATTTACGAGTCTTCTGACTTCTGACCTGCATTATATGACTGACACACAACAACGGTTTGACCTAAAAATATCAAAATTGAAAATACTGTGGAAACAAAGACACCTACATCTTGGATGCCCTTGAGGTAAGCTAAAACATACCAAACATTAATTTCAAAGTGAACTATCCCTTTAATGACTGGCAGCAGAATTTTAAATGCATAAAGTGTTGTATAAGGCATTACTTATTTCACCAAGAAATACAATTTGACACTTGTTAATCTTGAAAAACAGGTCTAAATGTATTTAATATATAACTTACAAATCTGAAATTAGAGCAGACGCTTTCTCTTCACAACTGTAGCATCTCTTATCCATCTGAACTAAACTCTTTTTATTTCTGTAAGAAAGCGAAATGAGAGTGTAATGTAATCGTGTACGAACACCGACTATAGCACAGCAAGCATAAAGCCAACAAGACATTAAATAGAGTAAAAATAAAAGAAACATCCTTAATAGAGACAGAAACCAGCCTGAAAAAGATTAAATCAACTAAATAAACACTGTTAAAGTAGTTACACATGCAAGCTTTTGTTGTCTGGTCAGTGGGGTTTGTGTCTTGAAGGTCATCTGCTGCTGTGGTAAAGTGGAGGAGAAAAGCACATTATATACTGATACTGTCAGAGTGTCTGGTTTGTCTTTCCCTTAGTGTCCACTAGAGGTCTCTTTCCCCATACTGTCGCCATTCACTCTGGAACTGCATTTCCCATGACCCCTTTGTCTTTTCTCATCACTCATCATTGCACACAGCTGTTTCTAATTACATTGTTTAGTTCTGTGTATAAATGCCCTGTCTGTTTCTGTCCTTGCCACGTCACGCTGTAACTCTGAGGTTTGTTTCTGGTCTGTTCTCGTTTTGGTTTTGCTTGTTTTGTAATATTATCAATCGGACTGATTAAAATGGATTTCGACACTGGCATGGATGACGACGATTCTGATTATTTGGATTATGACGCTTGCATGGATGACGAATACTTGGATTGCCCTGACTGTACCACTCTGTAGGCCAAAACGCGGAAGTGAGTTAGCATTTTAGCATTACGGTTCCCTCGCTCTAAAGCCTATGGGATTTTTGAAGGGGATTTTGCTAAATCGCCTGAAATAAGGTCTGTGGTGAACAAAGCCTCTTTTCACGTTTTGATCTATGACATAGAACACACAGTTATAACCTGCTTGTGGTTTTTTAAACTTTATTGTGTCTGATTGTGTTTTTTAAAATCTTTATATAGGCTTCAAAATGTATAAATTTCGGATTAACTTGTAAAGATTATCTTGCTAGACAAAACGGGTCACAACTCTTTGTTAAACACAGATCTTATTTTTTGCGATTTTTCCAAAAGTCTATGGGGAAAATGCATTGCTTTTCGACCGAGGGAACCCATGCGACGCTAGCTTCCGAGTTGTCCTACAAAGTGACGTCATCACTTCAGCACTCTATACCATTGCTGCATTTGGATCCACCCAATTCTCCACTATCTGTCGTGACAGATACAAGGATTATCAGAAATACTGTATACTTACTTAAATTTGCAAGAAGCAGACGTCCTTCTGGATCCTCTCGGAAATGTGCCAGGGTGAGTTCAATCCTCCTCTTCGCTGGACAAGACTTTGTTGACCACATCATTTGTTATTAAAGAAGCCAACGTGTACTTTACTCTTGTATGGCCAGGTCGAGCCTTTGTGCATGTTACTCCCCTCGAGTTTAATAAAGGCTCAAGTCATTCCTGGATTTTCACGGGCATATTTATTCCATGACGGACATGTCTTTACATGTTCACTTGTTGCATTTCCAAATTGCCGTCAGAACTGGTATATAAATAAAACACATAAAACGTAAATTAACCTTAAATTCTTGACATATTTGCAGACAATACTAAACAGAAATCACAAACTAAAAAATAAAGTATACATTTATGCAATGTAAAGTAAATTGGCTTTGTTACAAACACAGTCACGTTATACAAATACATGACAAAGAAAGAGAAAATATATACCTCATTGGCCACATGCACTCGAGAGGGTAAACTTAGAAGGGAATTCGTCTTCAATCCTCAACAATAAAACTTATAAATTATCTTTATAATCTTCCATGGCTTTTCAGAAAACCGCAGCACATTTCTCTCATCTAGATCTTTGCGAGTGTACCCATAAAGCGTCCCTATAGCAACAAATTATGATTTCCGCACGGAACAAAAAATAAGTTCCACCCTTTTCCTCAT